TAGGACGGAGCTAAAAATGCTCTCGCCCCACCCTGGGCTCGCACGCACCCTCACGTGCCACCATCGTGGTGTGTGTGGGACAGATAAGGCCCAGCTGTGTGTGAGTCCGTGCAGAGCAATCCTGTCACCCCATCCCTGCCGGGAGGGGACCGGGGAGCCACCGGCCACCCCGTCCCGGTGTCATCTCAGCTCCAGCATCCTCTGGGATAAAAGCCCTGGGGAGAGCTGCTGGGGGGGGGACGGACAGGGGGGGAAATTCCCCTCGTTATTTCACCCGAGGGGAAAAAATAAGTCTCTCAGCAGCGGGTGACCCCAAAGCTGGGGTGTCCTCAGCGTGCAGGGAAGTGTCCCACCCTGCAGCACCCCGAGGGGAAAAAATAAGTCTCTCAGCAGTGGGTGACCCCAAAGCTGGGGTGTCCTCAGCGTGCAGGGAAGTGTCCCACCCTGCAGCTGGCTGGGATGGAGCAAAAACCACCGCTGGGCTCGTGTCCTGATGGGGGGAAATCCAGCCCCTAGTTGTGGTAGGAAACTGCCACCGAGCCACCAGCGACAGCCGGGGCGGTGTGTCGGCAGCCAGCCCTGCTGCCAGCCCCCATTTTGGGGACCTCATCCCCTCACCATAGGGAGGAGGTGACATTCTGTGGAGAGGGGACACAGAGAGCCCATCCTGGTCCATCCCAGCCTTGCCCCCCCCCCTTACACCCGGAGAGTTTCCCCCAAAGATGTGGGGACACGATGGAGCTGCTGGTGGCGGAGCGTGGTCCCCACGTGAGCACGGCTGGGACACGTGTCCCCATAGTGGTGTGTGTGGGGGGACAGCCCTGCTGCCAGCCCCCATTTTGGGGACCTCATCCCCTCACCATAGGGAGGAGGTGACATTCTGTGGAGAGGGGACGCAGCGAGCCCATCCTGATCCATCCCAGCCTTGTGTCCCCCCCCCCTTACACCCGGTGAGTTTCCCCCAAAGATGTGGGGACGCGATGGAGCTGCTGGTGGTGGAGCGTGGTCCCCACGTGAGCACGGCTGGGTGTGGGGACACGATGGAGCTGCTGGTGGCGGAGCGTGGTCCCCACGTGAGCACGGCTGGGACACGTGTCCCCATAGTGGTGTGTGTGGGGGGACACACAGCAGTTTTGTGCAGTGGCAGCAGCTGGAGCCCCTTCCTCCTGCTGACTCAGTGTCTGCTCTGCGGGAGGCTGGAAGCAGCCGCGCTGTGCCGGGAAGTGGCCGAGCCTCGCCGAGATGCCAGGGGCCGGCCGGGGTTGCGCAAGGGAGAAGGGATGCTGCTGAAATCTGTGTCCCCCTCCCTGTCCCCCCCCAGCCTGAGCATCTCTGCTGCTGGGCTCCAAACCAGCACCACGGGAGCCTGGGGCCAGCCCCGCGCTGCTGGTCCCACGTGAGCACGGCTGGGACACGTGTCCCCATAGTGGTGTGTGTGGGGGGACACACACAGCAGTTTTGTGCAGTGGCAGCAGCTGGAGCCCCTTCCTCCTGCTGACTCAGTGTCTGCTCTGCGGGAGGCTGGAAGCAGCCGCGCTGTGCCGGGAAGTGGCCGAGCCTCGCCGAGATGCCAGGGGCCGGCCGGGGTTGCGCAAGGGAGAAGGGATGCTGCTGAAATCTGTGTCCCCCCTTCCCTGTCCCCCCCCCCAGCCTGAGCATCGCTGCTGCTGGGCTCCAAACCAGCACCACGGGAGCCTGGGGCCAGCCCAGCGCTGCTGGTGTCACTGGGATCACGTCCCCATCCCTCTTCATGCACTGGTACCCACAGTCTGTCCCTGGGGATGGAGTCGGGGCTCCCCTCGGTGCCCTGAGCAGGGTTTGCCTTTTCCCCCCTCCGGCCAAGGAGGGGGGTCCTTGGGGTCCTGGCTGTACCCCACTGCCCAGCGGGGGCCATGGGGCAGCTGTGGGTCCCGGCAGGAGTTTCGGGTGAGACCCCACTGGGGCTCCATGTGTGTCAGAAACCGTGTGGCTGATAAGAAACTTTAGTGTGTTTAAAAACTGTATTTAGAGGCTCTAAGTGCCTCGTGCTCTCACCGTGCACCCTCCGGGGTGTGGGGGGAGAGAGAGAAAAGCCCCCCCATCGCTTGCCTCCAGTAGCTCCAGTTGAGCATGAACCCCCCCTGCCCGGGGGCTGGGCTGTGTTTGTCCCAAAAAGGGGATTTTAGTGACCGGGGAAGGCTCCGGTGGGGAGGGAGTGGGACCAGCCCCAGGGTTCCTGCCCCTTATCCCCAGCCCAAACTGGAGTGGCCTCCTCTGTCCGTGCTCCACCACCGTCCCCAAGGGCAGCTGGTCCCCTTGCATCTGGCACCCACTGATAAGGGGCTGGGGGGGGGGGGGGGGGGCAGCCGGCCACTTCCCCCAGTGTGAGTGGCATCGAGCCAGCCCAGAGCCACTGCCCAGCCCTGGGCTCAGCCCTGCCTCACGGGCAGACCTTTGTCAGGGACTCGGTGGCAAATCCCAAGCAGGGGGACAAGGAGGTGTCCTGCAGGGTGACAGCCTCCCCGGGTCATGCCCAGGGGCAGAAATCCAACCTGATGGTGCCAAAATCAGCAGGGCTCGGTGTGCTCCCAGGGCTGGGACGGGCATGGAGACGGGATGCTCCAGGCATGTTCTCCCCACAGGGCAGCTCGTGGAGCTCTGCCAACCGTCGGGGAAGCCCCGACGTGGCCCTGAGGGGTGTGACGCCAGGTGTCACCCCGGGGAGATGGCATCCTTAGGCTCCTCCATCACCCCGAGCTCCTCTCTCCTCTCCTCCATCCCCAGTGTGGGCGGCGGGAGGGGGCTGAGCTGTAGAAACAGCTGGAATCCAAGTGTGTGGACAAGGTGGGGGGCAGGCAGCTGGCTCAGCCCCCCCGCCCCGGGTTTGAGGGGGGATTCCCAGCCCGGGGCACTGCCGGGAATGGAAGGATTCTTTGGTGACTCAGCTCCTGACGGAGCAGCTCTTTCTGCTGAGTCAGCAAACGCAGCCCCCACGCTGTCCCATGGAGCTCACACGCCCAGGCTGGACCTGCTCCACACCAGGGGCCAGATTGTGGGTTAGGGGCCCAGAGCTGGTGGGGACACCCCCTGCCCCCCAGAACTGCCTTCACCCTGCAGGGCTGGGGCGTTCCAGAGGCCCCGTGGAAGCTTGATGAGGCACAGTGCCCAGCTCATTTTGGGGCCAGGGGTGCCCAAGCAGCACCCAGGGGTCCTGCCCCTCAAGCAGGGTGCCACCAGCTCCCCCGGGTGCCGTCGTGTCACTCCTCCTCCCTGTGCCTCCCTCACAGGGCAGCTGCAGCTGGGTCTTACCCCATCCCCCTGCCCGGGGACCGCAGGGCTGGGGGCTCGGGCAGAGGGATGCAGACCCCTGCTGAGTTTGTAATTACAGCTCAACCAGGGCCCTCAAGTGTGAAACCTGAACACCTTGGGGAGCAGGGGAAGCAGAAGCGTCCGTCTGTCAGCGCAGGTGTCCGTCCTGGCCCCGCTCCATCTGGGGTGGACGTGGGGAAGTGAGATCTTGAGCCCCCCTGGCCCTTGTCCCCATACAAGGGGGGGGGTCTGTCCTTGGCTCACTGTGTGTTGGGGTGGGGCTGAGCCGTGCCGTGAGCTGGGGGGGTTCAGCAGGGAAAGAAAACTCATGGCTGAGGGTGGTTGGGACCAGATGGCCCTGGGGAGGTTGGGTTTCAAACCTCCCCTTTGCTTCCACCTTTTTTTCCTCGGTGTGTCCTAAAGTGCAGCGGCAGCACCCTGTGGGGATGTTCGGGGATGCAGAGCCCCCCATCGCTGCTCCAGCATCACTAGGTGGCTGCGGGACTCGAGTTGGGGTGTAAAACATCTCTGCTGGTTGCAGGAGAGCTCCAGATGGGTCCTTGCAGCACCCCGTGTGTCCCCATCCCTGCCTCCGGGACCTTCTCTCCCTCCTCACCTCCCCATCGGGTGGGCAGGGATGCGGCTCGGGGAGCTCCTGGGAATGGGGGGCAGCTTCCCTTCCTTCCCCACCCTGATCCCAGCTCTCCCCCCCTGCCCAGGTGACAGCTATGGGGTGCTGCCCCGGCCCTGCCGGGCGCTGGTGCTGCTGAACCCCCAGAGCGGTGCCGGCCGCGCGCTGGAGGACTTCCAGGCGGTGGTGCAGCCCATGCTGGCCGAGGCCGACATCGCCACCACCGTCTTCATCACCGGTGAGTCCTCAAGCACCTCCCTCACCTCCTCCTCCTCCCTTCCCAAGGGTCCTACCTGGGTACTGCCACCGGGATGGGCTCCTCCAAGGGTCTGGTACCCCCCGCATCACCACGGCTCCGGCTCCTGCGGGGCTGGTTTGGAGAACATGGTGGGTGGGCTGTCACAAAGGGTCCAAGGGACGTGGTTGCACTCAGAGGGGGTGACTGCCTCACTGCCCACACCCCACCTGGGACCCTCAGAGGGACAGCAGGGCTGGGGTCACTCTTTTTGGGGGGGGTGGCAGCAGGCAGGGCAAGGGTGATGCTCGAATCTCTGCTTCCCCCCACAGAGAGACCCCACCACGCTCACGAGAAGGTACGGGATGAGGACCTGTCGCAGTGGGACACGCTGGTGGTCATGGCCGGGGATGGGCTGCTGTATGAGGTGAGAGGGGCACCTCCCCCCCGGGGGTGGGCACAGAGCTGGGAGGAGAGGGATGCCTGGGGCAGGAGCCAAGCGCTGAAACACGAAGGGAATGGCAAAGGAGAGATGGCACCCAGCCTGGGCAAAGTGGGGCAACCATGGCCTTGGTGCTGCCCGGGATGGGGGCACCACAGGCTCTGCTCCCCCCAACCTGCGTGGGGGCACTGGGGTCCTTGCACGGCCCCGGGTACCACCAGCTCCCTCCGTCCCTGCAGGTGGTGAACGGGCTGATGGAGCGGCCGGACTGGGAGGACACCATGAAGAAGCCGCTGTGCATCCTGCCGGGGGGCTCTGGGAACGCCCTGGCTGCCTCCATCAACCACTACGCGGGGTGAGCCCCGGGGGGGCACCCACTGCTGGGGGGGGGAGGGAGGGAAAAGGCTGTGAAGGGCTCCAGCCCCGGGACACGGTGCTGGGATGCCCATCACAGGGGTGCCCACCTGGGTCCTCACCTCCCCACGGTACCAGGTTGCATCCCCGTGCCCCCAGCTCCCCCCACAGCCTTTCTATTCTTCAGGCTTTGAGTCTGGCAGAGTTTTACCCCAAAGGAGCCACCCCCACACGATGGGGGACCAGCACTGCCCTGGCCCAGCAGCCCCAACTTGGTTCCCTCTCTTTGGAACTGGTTTCTCTCTCCCACCCCCAGCAAAACCTCTCCCTGAGGGATGCCATCACCCAACTGGGACGTATCCCAACCATGACATAGGGATGAGGGTCACACGTAGATGGTGGGACAGGAGATGAGGCTGGGTCCAGCTCAAACTCACCCTTCATCCATCCCGCGCAGCAACGATCACGTCGCCAAGAAGAAGCTGCTGACGAACTGCGCCTTCATCCTGTGCAAGGGGCTGCACACGCAGATGGACCTGGTCTCGCTGAGCACGGCCTCGGGCAAACGCCTCTTCTCCTTCCTGGGCTTCGGCTGGGGCTTCATCTCGGACGTGGACATCGACAGCGAGAAGTACCGGCGGCTGGGCAATGCCCGCTTCACCCTGGGCACCCTCCAGTGCCTGGCCAAGCTGCGGGTCTACCAGGGCCGCCTCTCCTACCTGCCCGTCGACCCCGAGCAGGGCACCCCCTCGCCCCCCAGGGACCCCCCCGTGCCCGTCACCAATGGCCAGGCCGGCCATGTCCTGCCACCGGCGGGGACGGAGGCAGCTGGGGCTCTGCCCGCCGACTCCCTGCTGGTGCCCCTCTCTCAGCCAGTGCCAGCACACTGGACGGTGGTCCCTGAGGAGGAGTTTGTCACCGTCTACGCCATCTACCAGTCCCACCTGGGCACCAACCTGCTGATGGCACCCGCCGCCCGGCTGCACGACGGCTGCATCCATCTCTTCTACCTGAAGGCGGGCATCAGCCGCGTGGCGCTGCTGAAGCTCTTCCTGGCCATGGCCAGGGGCACCCACCTGGACTTGAACTGTCCCCACCTGCGCTACGTCCCCGTCCGGGCCTTCCGCCTGGAGCCACGGGTGGCCACGGGCATCATGACGGTGGACGGGGAGGCGCTGCCCTGCGAGGCTGTGCAGGGCCAGATCCACGGCCGCCTCTGCCGCGTCCTCAGCGGCTCCTGAGCCACCGGCACCCTCTTCCTCCCACTCAGGAACCTCTTCTTCCTCCCATAGCAATAGCTCTTGGGGGTTGCGGGTGCTCGTCCCCTCTCCCCCACGCTTAGCTTTACCCCCCCAACCTTGGGATGGCCCCACCAGGGCTGTCCCAGAAATGAGCCAGGAGCCCCCATCAGGTACTCTGCGCCAGAGTCTTTTATCCCGGTACGAGGTCCCAGTCCCCGGGGGGCTGCGCCGGCACAGCCCCGTCCCCTTACCCAGGGACCCCCCCGTGCCCGTCACCAACGGCCAGGCTGGCCACCTCCTGCCACCGGCGGGGGCGGGGGCAGCCGGGGCTCTGCCCGCCGACTCCCTGCTGGTGCCCCTCTCTCAGCCAGTGCCAGCACACTGGACGGTGGTCCCTGAGGAGGAGTTTGTCACCGTCTACGCCATCTACCAGTCCCACCTGGGCACCAACCTGCTGATGGCACCCGCCGCCCGGCTGCACGACGGCTGCATCCATCTCTTCTACCTGAAGGCGGGCATCAGCCGCGTGGCGCTGCTGAAGCTCTTCCTGGCCATGGCCAGGGGCACCCACCTGGACTTGAACTGTCCCCACCTGCGCTACGTCCCCGTCCGGGCCTTCCGCCTGGAGCCACGGGTGGCCACGGGCATCATGACGGTGGACGGGGAGGCGCTGCCCTGCGAGGCCGTGCAGGGCCAGATCCACGGCCGCCTCTGCCGCGTCCTCAGCGGCTCCTGAGCCACCGGCACCCTCTTCCTCCCACTCAGGAACCTCTTCTTCCTCCCATAGCAATAGCTCTTGGGGGTTGCGGGTGCTCGTCCCCTCTCCCCCACGCTTAGCTTTACCCCCCCAACCTTGGGATGGCCCCACCAGGGCTGTCCCAGAAATGAGCCAGGAGCCCCCATCAGGTACTCTGCGCCAGAGTCTTTTATCCCGGTACGAGGTCCCAGTCCCCGGGGGGCTGCGCCGGCACAGCCCCGTCCCCTCCCCGGCTCGGACGCACAGGGTGGCACCCACCGCTCAGGTCCCCTCCACAGAGCCAGTGCCACCCCCCTCCCTCACCTCCCACCCCCAGGGATGGCCAGGACCAAGATACCTAATATGAGAAACCAACTTTTTTTTTTTAAGAATGTTTCTACCCAAAGCTTCCTCTAGAAGCAGAGTTTATTCTTGTGAGAAATGCAATAAATATCTAGCGTTTGCAAAAAAATACAACCTTCCCCAGCACAGGGGTTTTAAATCAGAGCTCAGGGCACTGTCAGTGCTGTCACCCCAGGCTGGGCTCACACACAACCCAGTCAGTATGGGTTTAGCTCAGGACCACCACCCCTCGCTCCCCAGCAGCCTCCCCATGCTGCCAGGCCACCGTCACCCCGGGGCCAGGACCAGCAGGGAGCCACAGCCACAGAGAAGGTGCCCCGGAGGCAGGACATGGGGCATGGCTGCCCCTGACACCCTTTTTTTGGGGTGGGCTGGTGCCTCCTCACCCAGCGCCCCAATCCAAGGGCTCAGCATCACTGGCCCTGATGCTTTGGGACATCTCAGGGAAGGTTCAGCGCCCATGAGCAAGGGAAGGGGGCACAGAAGAGGTTCAAGGGGGGGTTTTGGCTTTCCACCAGGATTGGGGAGCTCACACGTCCCTTCTCCCAAGCAGCTCGGGGCCAGCTGGAGCCCTGCAACAGGTCCCTGCCCGGGGAGGGGGGGACACAACATTGCTCAGCCTGTTTGGCATAAAATGGCAGTAATTAAACCTCATTTACGGCGCTGGAGTACAAAGTAGAAGAGCAAACAGTGGTGGCTGTTTGCATTTATTCATCTGCAAACTATGCAATTAGGATCCCGGAATCCCGGAGCTGGGAAAGAAGAGCACGATTGTTCCCCCCCCCAACACCCCCACTGCCTCGCGGGGAGCCGAGCTCCTGTTCCTGGGCCAGCAGAGCAGCTGGGAACCACCTCAAAAATAATTCCCCCCCACCTCCAGCCCCATGGCATGGGGCCAGGTGTAAAAAGGGACCGGGCGATGCTCTGCTGAACTTCTCTGACTCTGTGGAAGGGCTGTCTCTGCTGGGGGAGGCTGTGGGGAGAGCCCAGGGCGTGGGGGGGTCAATAGATCAGAGGTTTTGGGGGTCCCTAGTCTCCCCCAGACCTCTCCTGGGGACAGCTCTATTGTTCACCACAAGCAGGTTGGTTGGAATCTCCCTTGCCCTCCTCTTTCCCAGGGTTTGATTCCAAAATCTGTCAGCCCTCAGCTCTCCCAGGGAACCCCCAGTTCCCCCCGGGGAGCCCCTCGCTCCTGGCACCCCAGGGAGGTGGCCACAGGGGTCACACACCCCTCGAGAGACAGATTCGTGCTGGTTTTCAACAAGGAGGACAAACACCAACAGGAGGGGTTAAGGAATGAGCTGCTCCCTTGCGGCTCCAGGCCCACGCTTTCAGCCACCTCCATAGGGATGACCCCGAGGAACCCAGGCATCGTTAACGTTACTCAATGCAGAAAAATCTTACCTCATTTTCCAAGAGAAGAGTTCAATCATCTCCATTATTCTCGTGCTAAGAAAATGCCTGTGCTGAAGTTACCAGGAAAAGGGTGTTGAAGAGAAGCTGGTGTTTGAGCTCCAAAACCAAGCGACGAGCAGGACCCCTGGATACATGATGTCCCCCCTCCCTTTCCTCACCAGCAGGACCACCCAGGGACACGGTTTAGTGGTGGACGTGGCAGGTTTAAGGTTGGACTTGATCTTAAGGGTCTTTTCCAACCTAAATGATTCCATCTCCAGCAAAGCCCACGGGGACAAACATCATAGAATAGAATCATAGAACCATTCAGATGGGGACAAACATCATAGAACCATCCAGGTTGGAAAAGAACCCTCAGGATCATTGAGTCCAACCATCTCCCCTACTCTAAAAGTTCTCCTCTACACCATATCCCCCAACACCACATCTAAACTACTCTTAACTACATCCAAGGATGGTGACTCAACCATCTTTCTGGGCAGCCTATTCCACCACCCGACCACCCTTTCTGTGAAAGAGGGTTTAACTCACCCACCAGCACCCAGGAGGTGCAGGAATCCCTTGGGAAGGACAGGGATCCCTCCTGAGCAGCTTGGAGAGGAGCCTGGTCAGGGCTGTATTTGCAGGACTGACACATCTCAGCACACACTCACCTGCTCCGGGGCCAGGGAAGCAGCAGGAGCCATCCCTGGATGCCATTCCATGCCCTCATCCAGCCGGGCAGCAGCCAGCGGAGCCGTGGCACACGCCGGGCAGGGCAGCCCACACGCACCAGGGAAAATTAAAAAGAGAGCCTGACAGATGTCCATGAATTGGGGTTTATAGGGAGCCCCCGGGGGCAGCCCCTCGCTGCCAGATCCGCCTGGCTCCCTCCGGACTGGCAGTGGCCAGCAGGACCCGGTCCAGGCTGGCCCCTGGCACAGGGATGCCCGTCGGGGACGCGGCCAGCGCCAGGCGCGGCAGCAGGGACAGGGAACAAACAAAGAAAAACAAAAAAAAAGGAAGAGGCAACAGTCAGAACTACTCACAGAGGCAAAATTTAATGGCAAGTCATCTTCCCTCCTTTATTACACCTTGGTTAGCCAAACAAAACAAAACAAAACAAAAAAATTCTGCAGGTAAAAAAAGTTTTAATGGTCACACAGCACTTTATACATATATCGTAAGCAACCAAGCATCCACATCTGCACGTGAACGACACACCTCTAAGCATGGCCTCAATAGTCAGGTCTTTTTTTTTTTTATGTTTTTTTTCCTCTTTTTTTTTTTTCTCATTAAATACTGTACAGAATCAAGGCTACAAACTGATTTCGTAATGCTTCTTCCCCAACCCCAGCACTTAAAACAGTTACAGGCTGCTCTCATTTGTACATCACACAGTCGTGTAGCCAGTTTTAAGGCTAACAATATGCATCATGCTTTGGCTTTTTTTTTTTTTTGTATGTTTTTTTAATTTTTTTTTTTTTTTGTATGTTTTTTTAATTTTTTTTTTTTTTTGTATGTTTTTTTAATTTTTTTTTTTTTTTGTATGTTTTTTTAATTATTTTTTTTTTTAAGGTTTTAGCCTTTTAAATTTTGTTACCCTTAAATATTACATACATACACAAAAAAATTACATAGCTGCAGTGTGCTCACCACCAACCTCGTCACCCAGGAGCTTCACATTATCAAAAGCTTTAGAAAATCTGTAAACCTCCGTGCAACGCTTGGGTTTGGGACAGCCAGCTACGGAGAGCGAGCGATGCCGGGGCAGGAGGCTGGGGAGCAGCGTCCCCTTTCCTCGGTAGGAAGCCCCAGGAACCTGTGCAAAAGCTCTTGATTAGGATCAGAGGAAAATAAAGAGATTTTTTTTGTTTGTTTTGGGCGAAGGGGAGGACTCGTGGGGTCAAAGCAGCTTGTCCTCCTCCCCAGCCCCTGCCAACCGCCTTCCCCCAGAGATGAGAATAAAGAGAGTAAAGGATTGGGCAGGGAAAGTAAAGCAGGGAACCCCCAGAGCTCCCCCGTCCCTCTGATGTCCATTAAAACCCTAAAGGGCTGGCTCCCTCCCTCCTCCCTCCCTGGCTGATGGGGCTAAGGGCACCCAGCACAGGGGACGGAGGAAGTTGGCCTCCGTACATCGCCAACCGCAATTTTGGCTGGTGAGTAAGAGGTTTAATTATTTGTGGAACAAGCCTCTCCGCCTGCCCTTCCCCTGCCCTGAAGCAACAGCCTCACCCCTCTGCCCCCCATCGGCCCTTTCTGTTTTGGGGACCCTCCTGGCTCCAAGGGCTTCATTCAGTCATTCATTTAGCACCAGCCACAGCCCCAAAGCAGCCGTGAGTTACCGGCTGCCCTGTCTGTGGCTCAAAGCATCTCCCTGCACCCTCGGGGGGGGGTCTACGATGCTGCCAGACCCACTCCCCACCACAGCCCAGTGCTCCCAGAGCTCTGCAGGGCCAGGTCTTCCTTCACAGCTGAGCTCTGCTTCCTCCAGAGCACCGGGATGTGCCCTCCAAAATCCTGGCAGCACGTGGTGACAGGAGAAGGGCTTTGGGCAGCCAGTCCCCGGCTCCGGAGCATCCCTGGGAGGCAGCTGGGAATAGCAGGGGTGGGGGAATCTGGTGGTTGAAGAAGCAGAAAGCCCTGTGCAAACACACTGAGATTTGCCTGCTCTTCTCCAATTCAGAACCAAAAGACCAGATCCCAGCCCGAGGTGGAAGGGAAGGGAACGCAGCCGTACGGAGGAAGAGCAAAGGAGAGTTTTGGTTCCATCCTCACTTCTGGCAGAGCCATCTGCTCATCCCAGCTCCTCCCGGGAAGCCCGGCACCGCTGGCTCCCTGTGCTGGCTGGAAGGACCTACAGACTCTCCCTGACAGACTCTGCTCCAACAGATGCCAAGCGGGTGCTTCTCCAATGCCTACAAACGTCGGGCAAACGCAGTGGTGCTGGAGCACGACCTCCCAGCTCCACGAGTGAAATTAAGTGCGTGCAGACAGAAAAAGAGGCTCCGGGAAGGTGCCTTGGCCAGGAGACTCTGGTGAGTCACTGCTTCAAAGTGCTCAGCGTCACCGGCTGGGATTGGGGAGAGCACGTGCTGGGCCACGACGCCGCCGGCCACGGTGGCCCCAGGGCCACCACGGGAAAGGGCTGGGGAGGGAAGGAACCGATAACCGCCCACAGCAGCATCTGAGTAACAGCACAGGAACGGGCACAAACTGCTGCTGGGACAACAGGACCTTGTCACGACGCCACAGCTCCTTCCCCTTGGGTGACCCCGGCTCAAACGGCTCCGAAATACCCATCCATCACGGCCAAGTGATGGAGAAGCAGCAACCAGGCCAGGTTCACCACCCAGATCGTCTGCAAGATCTACAATACATCCCGAGATCACCTGCTGCCACCTGCCCGGGAGAGGAGGAGATCCAGAACTAGCTGTAGTGCTGTGTGACAGCCAGGATGGTGGCAACCAAAGACACGGAGACTTAAGTCAGAAGGGCAGAATCCCGAATCCCATGTATTTCTAGAAGACAGGCATGCACGATGGGGAAAGGGAAAAATCACCTTACTCTGGAGAAAAAGTGTGGATGGCTAGAATGGCTTCCAGAAGATCAAGCAGAACTAGATGGAAACCCTGCAGCACCACCAGGGCTGCACAAGGATGAACACAGAGCTCTGCCTACCAAGATCAGAAGAACCTTGTAGCTGTCGGCGAACAACTAAGACTAGAGCAACTCTGTAGGGTGTAGACAACTTCGACGCGAACACAATCCAATGCCTAAGTATGTATAAGCTGGGGTAGATTTCATTAAATCCATGGTAACAGAGAGAAAAATGAAAGACTGGGAGGGCATTGCCCTTCACTTCCAGATTCTACAGCGATCGCTTCTCCTGGCTTGAACCAACCCCCCCAAGAACAAACTGCTGGGGGGAGCGCTGGGTGGGAAGAGTCCTTGTGTGGAAAAGGTGCCCCAAGATGAAAGTGCAGAGGGAACGTGGCTGCAAGACTGCTTCTGTGCAGGTCTCAAATCTTACCATTGCAGGGTCAAACTCGCAAGAGGAGCAACGTACAGGGGACAGGGGGAAGGAAGAAGGGCTGGGGGCAAAGAGTTAATTCATGCTCAGACAACCTTTCCTCGGAGGCGCGATCAGGCCTGCCACCCTCTTTGGAACAAACCAAGCTGAGGAAGAAAAGCTGCAAGGAGAAGCCAGTTTAATGGTCACAGCGTTTGCCAATTTCCTTTCTTGCTGCTTTCCCTTCTCCCCTGCACCTGCCTGTCCCTCACCTCACCCGTTATTTGTCCTCTGTCCACTCTGGGATGTTGGCCCCTGCTAAGGCAGCCCGGTACTGCTGCAAGACACCGCGGATGCTTTTAATGAACCCCTTGGACAAGGGGAAGAGGGGGAACCCGATATCAGGGTAACCGCTCTTCTCCGGAAGGAAACTCCTGTAGCTCTTTCTCCTTTTCTTTGGTTTCACGCTAGGCTGCGAGGCAGAGTCCTGGGCAGCCTTCCCCTCGTCCGTTCGGTCTCTGGCCAGGTCTGACCCCCTGGCTTGGCCCGTGCTCTCCGAGTCTGAGTACTGTTGGAGATCACCCACGTTGGACGTGGAGGTGGTGAACTCCGACTCGTCCAGCTCCTCCTTCCCATCCAGCGCCGAGTCGGAAAGCTCGGCGGCCGCCCCCTGCTCCGAGCTGCTGCCGTATTCCCCCAGGGATCCCGCGTTGTCTCCCGGGCTCTCGGCCAGGGTGCCGCAGGCAGAGAGAAGGGAGGAGGAATCTGCCCCGTTGGCCTGTTCGTGGCTCCTCTCCACCAGCTCGTTCGTCTCCAGCCAGGACTCGATGCGGGACACCAGGCGCCAGCCGTTGCAGCGAAAATGCTCCCGGATTTCATGCTCAAAGACTTCCACCGGCCTGCGCAGCAGCTGCATCATGGACTGCACCACCCGGATCAGTGTCATCTCGTTGTAGCAGCGACTGTTCTCATAACCCTCCTGGAGACCCCGGTCGCTGTCAAAACCCGCCTCGTTGTAGTAGGGCTCGTTCACAAGGATGAGACCTGCCAAGAGAAGGGGAAAGCACGGGGTTAAGGGAGGAACTTTACTGTCAATCGCCACCCGAAGGGGACACTGCTGGACCCTGATTTCTGCTGAGGTGGTTCAGGTTGGAGGGTTCTTCACTGTGAGGGTGGTGGAGCACTGGAACAGGTTGCCCAGGGAGGTGGTTGAGGCCCCATCCCTGGAGATGTTCAAGGTGAGGCTCGATGAGGCCCTGGGCAACCTGGTCTAGTTGGGGGTGTCCCTGCTGACTGCAGGGACGTCGGACTAGATGACCTTTGGAGGTCCCTTCCGGCCTGGGCAATTCTATGATGATTCTATGTCACAGCTTGGCTTTGTGATCACCCCCAACCACACCGATGCAGGCAGGGAAAGGAAGGGACAGCAGGAGGACACGCTGCAGGGAAGCCATGCTTTGAGTTCGAGCAGGTAGCAGAGGCCAGGCTGGACAACCAGCAACCTGCAAGGTGCACAGGACTGGTATTCACAAGGGTGGTGAGGATCTCAAACACTGCCAAGAACGGCACTCAAGATCCTTGGCTGGCAAGAACAGTCTTCCACCAGTGTGATGCAGAAGGCATGCAAGAGCAGAGTAGGTCAAAAGGGCAGAAGGGGAAAGGTTTCACAGCTCCCTTCCCCCCCACCCCACTCTGAGTAAAATGCCCACAAACACACCCAAAGCTTTTTTGTATTGAATAGCTTTTTTTTCTTTTCCCTCCTCTTAATCATTTCCCTTCCCTCCCACCCCACTCCGAGTAAAATGCCCACAAACACACCCAAAGCTTTTTTGTATTGAATAGCTTTTTTTTCTTTTCCCTCCTCTTAATCAGAACAAAGGCCAAGCTTGAGTAACAGGCTTTGAGCTGGCGGGGTTCTACCCTACCCAGCAGAGTCCCCGCAGCCAGCGCGGTTCTGAGACAGCGCACACGGTGACAAGTCACCCATACCAAGCTTTCTCCCGGCTTGCTGCTGCTCTAATGCAATTACACATGTGTAGCAATGGCACCAGGGCTGCCAGGCTGCTGGCAGCCTGCCACCAACTGCATTAGAGCTGGTGGAGGCGAGATCATGAGTCTCTCAAAGCCCCGTGAGGGGGAGAGGAGGATTTTTCTACTAGCACCAAGCGGCTCCGCTTAAACATTTAGTATTTCGCTTTCTAAATTTGGATCCTCGGCTTTCTAAATGAGAAAAGGCTTTTCTCGTGGTGTCGCCCTCCCCTCCCCCCCCAGGAGGCTGCAGGTGGACTGTGAGACTTCAGAGGAGCAGGAGCTGCCTGTGGACTCAAGCCCTTTGCTCCATGTCAAAGGTTTCTCAAGTCACATGCCTGGGGTCCCCGCACAGAAAGTTGGCCTTGAGGAAGGGATTTGCTTTAGTCTGTCTGCTCTCCAACTAGATATAGCAGGGCAAAGCCCCATGGCAGGAAGCCCCAGGGCTGGTCTAGACACACCCCTGATTATTCTCTGCTTTGGAAGGAGCATAAACACCATCTTCGTCTGCAAAAACATGCCCAGTGTAGGACGGGCGGGTGACTCAGTGGGGATAAAAAACACGGTCCTGCGAATGCAGCCCAGTTTAGCAACTCCAACCAACTTCAGTAACTGGCTGAGAACACAGCCCTTCACCTCTGTCAGCTCAGAATAACAGAGGAAACAGCTCTGTACTCTGCTGCTGCAGTGAGAAGAAGGGAAAGCATTGTCTCAGGGACCTGGGACGCAGCCAAAAATCAAGGCGTGAGGAAAGCTTGCACCTGCTTCAGCTTATGAACTGGAGAGATAAGGACACTGCTTTGTCCAGCAAGGTGAGAGCAAAAGGCAGCACTAACCCAACCGGGGTGGGCAGACCCCACTTGTGTGTCCCCCCCCCATAAGCCTGCCTCCCCTCCTCCTCCTCCTCCCGCTTTTTCCTGTCCCACCGGCTCTGCAGGAGCATTTACCTTGGATGGAGATGAGCACTTGAAGGAGGCTGGATTTACTGGTCCACCTTTCTGTGCCCTGAAATGCACATACAAATGTGTTAAGGGGCTGAAGCACACGAGCTCTGTGGTAACTGGTAGAGGTAGCAAGGTCCCAGCTTCTCTGGGTTCCTGTTGCTAAGGTCCTGCAGCTCACAGCAGGAACAAGGAGCTGATTCCACAGGCTCATGATGTGCTACTGTCCCATGGTACCAATCCAACTCCCCAGGACTTTTTTCCAGCACCATCAGGGCAGTCCTGCCTGGAACGCCGTAACCTTACACACCAGACACCCCTCCCCAGCCCCCCTGTTGATCTACCTGCCCAAAACACAGCATTTCCCTGGCTCTGCTTATTCCAAGTCTCCAGTTGGATGTTGTGCCACACTACGTGATTCGCTTGAGGAGTGGGAGACAGGGACCCAAACCACAGGAGAACACCCCATGCTGGTGGTGGCATCTCTGCTCTGTGACACTCTGTGACACAGCCCAGCTGGTCTGACCACAGGCTTCTTCTCAAGGAAGAACAGACAAGAGCCAAAGAGAGCCCCAGAAACCACCAAACTACACCAGTTACCTGCTCCAGACACCCAAAACAGAGCCCAAAGGCAGAGCTGTATCCCCAGCTCAAGCACTAACTGAGACCAGAAGCCACCCAGGACTCTTGGTAGGAAGCAGCTTGGTTCCAAGAGCAGCCTGACACAACCCACCACTCCCTAGAGCTGGATGGATGAAAACATTACCTTGCCTATCCATGTCCCCAGGAGGCTGACACACACTTTGCCATTGTCGTACAGGTTGGGGTTCAGTCTCCCACTGCACTGGGAGAGGTAGCGGAAGAGAGGTGGGACAGCGGGGTAGATGTTGGGGAGCTGGATATCGAAGAGAAAGAGGCCATCTTCATAGGGCGTGCGTGTGGGCCCTTTGATAAGTGCTGAGAAGAGATCCTGTGGAGAGAGGCAAGATAAGCCAGGGGCTACGAAACATCCCCTTACCTTGGCAGGGCTGTATTTACAGATTTAGAGAGAGGATGCAATTAACTCAGCCCTTGCAAGAGTCAGCTCAAGCAACACATCTCAGAGCACCTTCCCTCTAGAAAATGAACTTCTACCACGGCCTGAGGGCAGACCAAGCCTTCAGATCCTTCAGATGGAGAGTAAGCCTTATGAGGAGAGGCTGAGGGAGCTGGGGTTGTTCAGTCTGGGGAAGAGGAGACTGAGGGGAGACCTTATTGCTCTCTACAACTACCTGAAAGGAGGGTGTAGAGAGGCGGGGGTCGGTCTCTTCTCCCAAGTTACAGATGATAGGACAAGGGGTAATGGGTTCAAGTTGCACCAGGGTCGGTTTAGACTGGACATTAGGAAACAATTCTTCACAGAGAGAGTGGTCGGGCATTGGAACAGGCTGCCCAGGGAGGGGGTTGAGTCCCCATCCCTGGCTGTGTTTAAGAACCGTTTAGATGTGGTGTTGGGGGATATGGGGTAGGGGAGAACTTTAGAGTAGGGTAGATGGTTGGACTCGATGATCCCGAGGGTCTCTTCCAGCCTAGATGATTCTGTGATCCAAAGCAGGGCTTCAGAGGACACCCAGCAACCCCCAAGCTGCTCACTGGTTATATCAGCCCCTCGCTGCCTGCCTGCCCTTCCTGCTCAGTGGGACAGGCAACCCAGCGGGCAAAGCACCCGAAATAGGCTTCCTGCAAAGAGGAGCTTCCCCCTTGTTTGTCACCCTGGCTTTGGGGAAGGTGAAAGCAGTAATTACAGCCGCGTTTCACACGCTGCAGACATTCCTGCAGCTCTAACACAAAGGATTAAGGCTAAGCAGGGAATTCCAAAGAAAGCAATCCGGATGCTGAGCCCAGCACGAAACACACAGGCATTTGAGAGCAGACACTTGCCATTCGATCCTCGAAGGTTTTAACCATGATGCCATCAGGGAGGGAGGTGGCCAGGAGAGCCATCTCTTTCCGCACGGTGCTAAAAAACTTCTTGGCTTCTGGGGGCTGGAACTCCATTTTCTTGAAGGCATGGCTATCTGTGGGGCAAGGAGGAGAATGGGATTAAAGTCTGCCCTTGGAAACTGCCACAGGTTCCCTGTGAAGGCAAATCTATCCATGCGCTAAACCTGTAATTTGGAAGAGAAGAGTTGAATTGCTTTTTTTGCTGAGCCAGGAGGCAGCCTAGACATTATTTGATTCCCCTGCTCTTATGGTCCCACACAACATCCTGTGCCCCACAAGGAGCCCCATCCCACAGCTGGGAGAATGACGCACAAAGTGCTGACCCTTTCTCTGCAAAACCCAAGATAGCTGCTCATCTTTATTTATACACACCTGCAGGTTCAGAAGAGTTTGGCCACCTTTCCTTCTCACGTCTGGCCCAGCTGCCTGGCTCGCCAAGCACCTTGGGCTCCACTGTCACCAGTATTTCACACAACCAGATGCTGTTTTTTATTTTTGGCTGATTAACATTGGCGTAAGTGAACAAGGACACTCACCCAACCAAGGACACCCAGCATAAGAACACCAGCTGTTCCTGCTCTGCTTCTCAACCAATCCATCCCTGCAAAAAAGCCTCAACAAACCCTGCAGCTTTCAAGGAAGTATTTGCAAAGGAAAGTGACTGATCTCCACAGCTCTCCAAAGTTAGGCACCAACACGGACAACGGGGAAGCCAACTTCTGTGGCTTGAGAAATTACAGTAGTGCCTAGAGATGCCATCTAAAAGCCAGGTTTAGGTCCTAGAACAGATTGTGCTACAGAAGTTGCCTTTATCTCTCCTCCTCAGTCAAATGAGCTGTGAAAAGGACCAGGAAGAAGAGAGGACACCCAATCCAGGCGGCCCTGAATCAAAGGTTTTGGAGAAAGAAACACTGCAGGACAGCAGTGAGGGACAGAGCATCCCACACTGGCCCGACCCGACACACTCACCTGGAGCATACTCCAACACAGAGAAGACTTCTCCCTTGGCACTGGTGAAGGTGACTCCAGGCTTGCCTCCACTCTGCTGGCAGAGCACTGGTGTCTCACTGGGCCACTCTGACCTCACTGGTGTCTGTGCCTCTGCTTTTTCTTCTTTCTTCTCTGTCTCCACCATGGCTTCCATCTTTTCCTCTTCTGCAATAGCCACATTATCCAAGGTCTTCTTTAGGTTTTCCTGCAGCTTTTTAATATCGTCCAAAAACTTCTTCTCCCGAGTGGGTTTTTCCAGCTCCACAGTTGGGGAGGTAGGAGAGCCAGTCAGCAGCTGCTCCACAGTCATATTTTTCAGGCTTTCCAAGATCTTGATGGCCTCTTTTAGTTCCCGGAAGCTCTTGGGGGCTCCGTCCTTGCCAGCTTTCTCTGCAGCAAGATCTGCAACTGCCATAGCCACAGCTCCCTGGACTTGTTCCTCTACTTTTTTCACCTCCTCTGCTGGTGGCTCCTCAGGCTCTAGCTCCTCAATTTTTGGGTGGTCGTCTTCCATGAGGCCATTGTCTGTCTCCCAGCTGTCGCTTTCATCCTCCCACTCAGAGGACGCCCCGCTGGTGCTGCCGTCAACAGAATCGTAGTCTGACTCCTCAATTTCTGATTCAATATTGTATAAGTGCTAAAGGAGAGCAGAGTTACAAGAGACTTAGGCTCAAGCACAGAATTTTAGTTGTTTTTAAAACACAAGTCAGTTTTCCCCATGAAAAGGGAGCTTCCATCTCGGATTAGTTGGGCTGCTTCAACCCTTTCAATCTACACAGGGTGGACTGTGTTTGATCCAAATAATGTGCTCAATGTCTGGCACAGATCAGGAATCAGCATAGCCCCATCCTCCAGTTTGGAAAATAGGGCACTGGGGGGGAAACTAGGGCAAGTTCTAGGTGGGCTGCAGTCAGCCCAGTGGCTGGGATCCAGCCAAGGAGAGCACGCAGGCGCCGAGCAGCTACCTGGATGCCCCAGGGTTTCTGAAGGCAGAGCCAGTTCAGACGTATTGGGTATCGAGTGCAGAGTTAGTATTTCTGGTCCTGCCTCTGCATCAGCAACCGTGCTGGCACAGAGCCCTGGTTTGGCTGCCTCCGCACTCCGTCCTTCCACAGAGACAATGCTGGAACCAGGCAGACATTCCCACCACCAGCTTTCTTCTTCTGTGGCCCCACACCACTTGCCGTCACGGCTCTGCTACGCTGCTTTAGCTGTTTTATGTCACTATTGCTTAAAACTCAGCTGGGACAATGAAGTTGTCCCAAGCTGCTGAATAAGTTCTTACTTAAAACATTGTCTTCCCCTTCATTTCTGGAAGCCGAACCCATCCACACTCCATCTAGCCTTACTTCTTCTAACCATGCACATGCTACATCTCTCATGAGGTCCCCTGCAGAGGATTATGGACCTACTCCAGCCACTGGCTCCAACACAGAAGCAGGAGAGCAAGAACAACCTTATAGGGCTGTTAGGAGTTCCAAGATGGAGCATTTTATCCACAGGCTTCTGACACTTGAATGACAGCCCAAGAATCCTCTTAATCTTGCAAGATCTGACCCCAGAGGCTAAAGCTCATGGACATTCAGTCATCTTGTCAAAGCCCTGAACTGAACCAGCACCGTTGGGCTCGTCCTGTGCCACTCAGAGACAGGCAGCCAGCAGAGGTTAGTTGGGTTCAACACAAGTGACTGCAGGCAGGAAAAGCCATCAAAACTCACTGCCCTCAAAGCTAATCCAAATTTGAATCTGAAAGTTAATTAGCCAGTTATGCCATCTTTATTTTTAGAGCTGAGAAAAAGCACCCAGACAGCTCGTCTCTGGGCACACGGACGGGCATTGATAAATCACGGTTTTACTAACTGATAATTCACGCTCCTGACATTTCCCCAACTCCCATAATTAGGCAGAGGAGCAGAATGGAAGGGGCTGGCGTGACACAGCAGGAGCTGCTGCAGAGCCCCAGCACCGCGGCGAGAGAACAGCCCTTTGTGGAGCACACATCAGACCTCCGATTGTGCCTCTGATCCAAGCACATGTGACAACAGGGGGAAGGGAGACAGCAGCCCGCTTTGTAACGCTCCGGTCCACTGTCATAGTGCAGGCATTGACTATTCTACTGTAATTAATGCAGAGCTGCTTGGTTTAAAAAAGAAATCTTGATTGAGTGCTCTCTACTTGCAAATGCATCTCCGCAGCGGAGGCAGTGGTGTTCTCTGCCACCGTGATGGAGATGGGACTCTACAGAAGCAGGTCTTCTCTCATCTTTAGGCTGTCTGCCTTCATTTGAGGCAACAAGGAGAAGAGACATGGGATGAAACTGTACGTGGAGTAGCGAATAAGATTACAAGACAGTGCAACAAAAACCTTAGAGCAACACAGAAGACAAAGGAGTTAAGCGGATTAGCGTGGCTATATCTATATTTTTAAGTTCGCAGGAACTTAAGGAGTTCAACTCCTTTCCCTCCCCACCCTGGGAGAAGAACTGGGTCTGATCCCTAGGTTAGCTAAGGTCACAACTTGTGGCTCCACACCAGCTCCTGGAGGAGCTTCTTCAGCCAAGGAAAACACCACGGTGCCATTTGACAAGCAAGACAGAACAAGCAATCGTCTTTCAGCTGTGCCTTGGTTGGGCAACACAACGAATCTGGGCTCAAGTCTGATGATCCCTGTGCTCTGCAACCCCCTCTGCAAAGCAGCGGGTGTCGGAGGTCGGGAGCAGGGATGTGGTCAGAGCTGCAAACACGCAGTGCAGCATGTGAAGGGAGCAACAGTCTGCCCACACTTCCCTATTCTCTATATTCAAGAGCAGTGATGACCAGTCAGTTGCTCTCTCCTCCTGCCAAAGGAAGGGTTTTCCTCTGCTAACAGAATTGGGAAGCCACCCCATCACATGGGAAGGCAGCAATAAATAGAGCAGGATCCCTTTACCCAGTGAATCTCTCCACACCCAGGATTTAAAACCAGGATTTTTCATTCAGTTAAGAATTACAGGGATACCACGATCTGGAACAGGACCTCACCTGTGGCAGAATGATAGTCTTGGAGTTATCAGCCCACACCACTTCCACTTTACTGCTGACATCCACACGAGCCACTTGTCCGACCGAAGGCTGGGGAAACGAGAGCAGTTTGTCAGTCCATTTTTTTTCTGCAGGCATTTCAGTGCAGAGCCAGGAAGGTTTTGAGAAACAGACATTCCCCAGGTTGGAGATCCACCTAAAGCAATGCTTGCAGCGTCTTGCAGAAGTGACAGGGGTCCTGGGGTCCCATGGGAAGGGGGAGAAGGATCCTACAGACAGGGTTTCCATAAGAAACCCCACAATGCCACGGAGGTGGGGAAAATTGCCCCCTGCAATGAGGAGAGGACCAGGAGGGCTGGTCTGGCAGCAGATCCTGACTTCTGAGCAGGACCAGGGCCATTGCAGGGCTGTGGCCTTTTGCAGCTACAGACAGGATTTCCATAAGAAACCCTACAATGCCACAGAGGTGGGGAAAATTGCCCCCTACAATGAGGAGAGGACCAGGAGGGCTGGTCTGGCAGGGCTGTGGTCTTTTGCAGGCAGCCCTGTTGGGGTTGTGCCCAGATCCTGACTTCTGAGCAGGACCAGGGCCATTGCAGGGCTGTGGCCTTTTGCAGGCAGCCCTGTTGGGGTTGTGCCAGTAAGGCAAGAGGATCTTCCCCTGAATGGGGCTGCCATCTACTGGGGTGCCAGCAGCCAGCCCTGTGCTCCCACAGCCAGCACCAGGGGCCCACAGCAGCTGCTCCCAGCAGAGAGGGTGCAGGCGAGACCAGACAAGTCGCACTTGGCACGGGCTGTGCACAGTGAGGAGCATCTTGCACTGGAGGAAGGTTATTTAGGTCAGCCCGAGCAAGCTCGGATGCGTTTCATGCTGCTGAAACTAGAACCAGTAAGAGCCACACTACAGCTTTTATTAACCCTTTTAGGGCAGCAGTCTCAAAAGCTGGAGGTTTTCCCTGCGCAGCAAGGAAGCCTGTTTTCTAGCAAAGAGCTCATCCTTTACAATAGAAATTGTTCTCTCTCTCTCCCCAGGAGATCAATCAGTTCAACAAAATTAACGTGTACATAACTCAGATGAAATCCAGAACCCCAGTCTTCTGTTGCCAAGTGAAACTGGTGTAATAACTCAGATGAAAACCAGAACCCCAGTCTTCTGTTGCCAAGTGAAACTGGTTTCATGACAAATCCACCTTCACTCTCGCTCAGGAGCCCACAGAATATCCTCATATTAGAAGTTACTCTGAAATCCTAAGGAAGAGTTTTAACACAAGCCCTCAGGCATACGTTTTGATTCTTGTCTCACCTTTATTCTTGCTCTGCTATGGACTCCATCGCCAAGGTCAAAAGATTTCAAGGTTATGTTTCCACCTGATTTTGAGATTCAATATCTTACTCATGACAGCAGGGGACACCGACACAAAACTAGCAAGCTGGGGACTTTAGGATGCCCGTGTGGGGCTTAGGGCCCCCCTATTGACTCTTTAAGTATCTCCAATGTCTCTTTCAATGTCTCCATTAATACCTGGCGACACTCCAGTCACATAACCGTGCCCAGAACCTACCTCATCTTCCTTAGCTGTGGCTCCATCTGAGTTGCCAATGCGGATCACGATGTCAGTAGTGCGGAAGCGAAAGTCTGGATGATCAGCAATATCATACACACTCACGTCCTCCTCCTCCCCGATCAGCTGCATCCGAGACAGAAGGAGAACACATCAGCCCCAGGATGCAGCAGGGACCTTCAGAGCACACCTTCAACACTCAAAAGTACTTTGTGTTGTATTTTTTGTCAATTTTCAGTTGCTCCAACAGTCTGCAAGGAGCTGCTCATGTCCCTTCTTGTCACCTCATCCTGTAGCACATCAATCAAGGCACAATGAAAGGAAGGAGATATTCTGTGTCATCTGCTCACCCTCACCTTTGCTACAGGTTCCAAGTCATTATGATCATGAGACACACAGGAACATTTTATTCCCTTCTGTACACCCAGATTTCTCAAAGCAGTTCATTGGGGCCCAAAAGGTTAAAGTTAACTTTTGAAACGATCTAAGGCAACAGGAAGTGTCTGACAAAAAAATCTGACAATTAATGGGAAACATCTTTCCTTTGATTTCTCCTGGAGGAAGAGAACAAGGAGCTCACAAATAATGAGAAATGGTTAAAGCAGAGCTCAGCCTCAGGCCAGACCCATGTTCTGCTTCTGGATGGAAAGGGCCCTGCTCAGTTGTGCCAATGTGGTCTCCCATCCCAAGGCAGAAAACAGTACACCAGATTGGTGTGGTTTGAGTCCCCCTCTCATCTCCAACTAGACTGTGGTCTATCACAACTGCAAAATACAGAGTTCTTACAAGCTCCAAGAAAAAAGCATCAGCCTGACCGTAGGCAATAAGTGTCCAGCAGAGGCAGGCAGGACAACATGCAATAGATTCTTTTTCCATGAACTAGCAAAGACATGGGAAGGAAAAACTCTTCTACTGAACTCAAGCAACAGTCTGTGACAACTTCAGCAAAAATCTTCATCCATACCAGAGCTGATGTTGACTATGGAATACAAACCCTCTGCTTGGTCTTTGCTGCCTTGTGGGCATCTACAAATACGAAGCGACATCACCTCAAGCTAAGCCTCCCAGGCCCAAAAGCACGTTGCTGTTCCCATCCTCAAGCACAAACCCCACCACAGCATGGACTCGTGGCTTATCTATGTTTATCTGTGAAGCTTGTGCTGTTCCATGGCTGCTTTCTCTTAGCTGGTTCCAACAGGCACTGGCTCCTGCACTTACCTCTACATCATCTCCACTGGATTTCAGCTTGAACCACTTCACCACGCAGGTACGGCCAATGTGGTCACCAGACTGCACGACTCCATATAACCCAGGGTCTTGGGAGCTCTGAGCTTTTGGTCACAATGGTAGGGAAGAAAATAGACAAGTTAAGTGGAAGGGCACAGATTCTGCACAGAAACTGAGGCTGTGAGCTCCCAAACTCTCATGGCTGAAATCTGCCATCTGTGAATGGCTGAGGAAAACAAGTTCTTACACAGTCGAAATTGTACTCAGCTAACAAGGTACATTTTAGTGTGAGTGATGACAAAGTAAGACTATGTTGCATTGGACTGGGTGAACACATTCACTTTGGAGCTCTATCACCAAGAGAAAACACGCTCCCACCTTAGTGCTGTGCTCTACAAACTAGCAAGACTACTGAGTTTCTGGACAGACTGGCCAAAAGCTCCCTGAGAGCAACTCTGGCTGCCAAGGTCCTCATCTAGACACGTGCCACCCAGAATGATTTTGCTCCTCTGGAAAAATGGACTGGACAAAGGTGGAAGGCAGGAGGATGCAGGCAGGTATAAATGGGTATATACATCAGGGATCCAACAGCATCAAAGCTGGGCCAGGTCCACCTCTCCAGGCCTGGGCTGTTGCCCAGCACACTGGTATCCAGACAGCTTCCAGATTTGTCTGGCTGACAAAGATCCACCTCCCTCATCCTTAGCCGGGGAATGCAAGGAACTGCAGGCATCCCTGACTGCTTGGGGAGTATGTTTGACAGGAATACAGGTTCCCAGAGACCAAACTGGAATAGTAGAGCTGGTGGATAACTTTTAGTTTCCACAAACTAGGTTTAACCTACAAAACCAGTCAGACTGTAAGTCATCAGAAATGGCCACACAAACCAGCAGCTTTTTTTGCTAAGCCATCTTTCCCTCTTCCAAAGGGAAAAGGGAAGATCTGACAAGATCTTGTTTCCCACTGTTGAGGGTCTACCCCTTCTAGAAAAGAAGAGGAGCTGAGAGCCAGATGGTGTGCCATCAATATTTCATATCCAAAAGCTGCAAGTCTCCTTGAACTTGTACCGTGACTCTCACTGCATCACCAATTGATTTGCTGAAGAAAATGGATATAAGAAGATGCCTCTGGATCCCAAAATCCTCCAAGAAGAAAAAATGGAGGGTCGTGATAGACAAGCCATAGAGCAGCCTGAGGTGAGCTGTTCATCCCTCCCCTCATTCTGCGGGAGCTCAGAGCCATTTGCACTTTCAAGGAGAAGGTGGGCCACTCCTCCTCTACAGAAATAGCAAAAATTCTAGCTTTGCTCCTTGGCATTTCTTCCTCCTGCATCTCACCTGCTGTCACAGTTCAACCTTGGTATTTAATTAATGGTTCTCTGCTGACATTCACAACAAGTCAGCTGAATCGCTGTCTGCCCCTTGTTAGGTTCTTGTGCCTACCTCAAGTGAGCACTACCAACGGCTACCGTAAAGAGGGCTATGATGTAGGATGTACATTAGGAGATGCAGATTGAAGAATGCTTTGCAATTAAGAGCATGTTTGTTCCCCGAGAGCATTGTTTTGACACCCAATACCTCTTTTGTCCACCACAAAATCCCCGGGGCAGAACTCGTTGTTGTCCAGATGATGGACTGGAATCAGCTCGTTGGAGCGAATGTTTGTCTCCACGGTGCCATCCTGCCACATCACGTCAGCTGAAGTCATCGTGGTCACCACTTCCACAGCAACCCTGGGAACACACAAAGGCAATGAGTTACCAGAGGGAACAGGCAGGAGCACAACCAGGACGTGATGCTGCCGACACCAGTTATCAAGATGGATCTTGGCAACAAAAAGGTACCGCTCATCATCAGGCTGGGGAGCAAGTCAGGAACCCCATCTAGTCCCAGTGGAAGCAGCAGGTTTTGTTGTGATGGGTTCTCAATCACTGCAGATGTTACATTGCTGCAAGTCTATACTGCAGGAGGATTTACTTTCCAGGGAGCCAATGCTGAGCTCTCTTACTCCTAGTGGAGCAAATTAACGTCTACCAGCATCCACTTTCTACCCCTGGCAGAGGCCAAGACAGGAGCTTCAAATACTTTGAAACTTAAGATCTCCACTGAAGCACCTTCTAGTCTGCCAGTCTGAGGAGTCTTTGAAGCCAGAGGAGCATGGGACTGGAATGGAGAGAGAAAGCCACATCCATCTCAGCCCTTCCAGAAAGGAAAATTAAAAAAAAGGCAACATATTGAATGTGGGTAAAGCAAAAGGATTTTGTTTAAAAGAGAAAAGTCTCCTTCCCAGCTGTTCAAACACATACATGTGTCTCTCTGCAGCCCAGAAATGAAACCCAAACACGCAACAATGGACCACACGCTGGTACTCTGCTGTGGAGCTCCACAGAGCTGCTTGAAGAGGCAAGTTGCTTGAGGGCAGAAAGAACAGAGCTGCAGCCAAGCTGGACAGACTCTTCTAATGAACCCTCCACCACTTCCATCTCTCAGAACAAATTGAATCCCATGCTGATTTTAAATCTTGCCTTTACTTTGCTGGCCAAGCCTTTGAGACATAACACAAGTGCTGCCTTTATGTTGGTTTCAAGTCAAGCCATAAAGAAGATACAACGGGCAAACAACTGTTTTCCCTCAGCCCTGTTTTTAGGAATGTTGGAGAAATATTTTTAAGTGGAAATAATATGAAGTTTCTAGTAGAGCCAGCACTCAACGGCAGACATTATCAGAGGTCCAGTGTGGTGGGTGACCTGCCAACAGATGGTTCCTTGGAAAAAGTAGGGGCACGTGGAGCTGAGGATGGGAGAGTAGAGAGGCCACCCAAGGAAATGACACAGCCCTGTTTTCATTGCAGTTTATGCTGCTTCACAAACAAAGATCACGACCTGACATTCATAAAAATCCCTGTGGATCCTCCCTAAAAAATAAGCAGAGGTCTCTGTGCTGCCCGGAGAGCTGCAGCAGGTCAGTAAGCCATGGTGGAGCCACACGCTGAGTTGGCCACCTGCAGGCAGAGCTGCCCAGGAGCTGACACATCGGGTCTGGTGAGGAACTGCAGCAAGCCCAGCCGCTCTGCTTTTCTCAGCAGCACTGGGCAGCACACCTACTGATGGGCTCTGCTTCATCGGAATATTCAAACAGTGGAGACCCCTCACACTGAGCTGTGACCTGCTGCCACACATGCCCTTTAAAGCACTGGCTGGGTTTTCACGCTCTGTACTGAAAAAGCCTCTGTTTCTGCTGTGACATGGTCATCTCGGCAAAGCGTCCCAACATCTGATCTCAGCATTTCCTTGCACGGAGCTGCCCAGACCCAGCACAGGAACCTCTTGGTGCTGTCACAGGGATTTCTCCCCACTGCCTGTACGGTGCAGAAAGCTACCAGGTTTACCAGCTGAGCTCTCCTGAGCAAAACCTGTGGTGGAGGCACTCGGCAAGGGGATGAGAAGTGAGAAGTGAAGAGAGAATCAGTTCCCAGGAGCTCCATCACACACTCCCATTTTTTCTTTCACTCAAATACTGCTCTGCAATTTCTCCAAATCCCTTCAAATCCAATTTCTCCAAAACCCACGAGGACTAAAGGAACAGCTCTCCATGCATACAGACAAAACTAAAATACCCAAACAAAATGTGAGTGAAGTTCATGGCATTCTCAAATTACTGGATCCTTGAATCCTGATAATGTCATTTTTTTGTGAAGATTCTCATACACCGTCTTGCTCTAGCTCATTTCTGATGCAGGATCTGTATACAACTAAGTAGCCCAGGGAAGCCAACAAGACAGGCTGGCCAGTTGTTAGATGTCTTTGCATTCCCTGAAAACAGGCTAAACATTCTAAATTTAGATAAAAGCTGCTGAGATCCAATTTTATCTATAAATGGGCAGATACATGCAATGCTCCCTCCTGCAAGCTACTGAAATAAAGTCCTCCAAGGTTCTTCATTCACAAAAAAAAACAAAAACAAAACCACCAGAACAGTAAGAAGTATACTGATGGCAAAAAATTGCAGATGTGTCTCCAGAGCAGGGTAAGGATGACAGAGACCACCGCAGCGTGACCTCCGTGCTGATCTGGAGACAGCTCTCTGAGGATGAGCTGCCTGTTCCTGCTGCCAGGGTCTGCCCTCAGCCTCTCCACAGAAGCTGCCAATGAGGTACCCAATTAGTGTCATGTTTAAGCTGTATGATCTTTATTCACCTGTCTCTTTTCCCTGCATACAGAGCGTAGCACAGCACAGATATTCTGTCGATGCCCTGAGGCACAGCTGAAATAGAATAGCAGCAGTGTCGTGTCACAGGGACCCAGTTTCATCAGAAGCTGGACTGAGACCAAGGTGATTTCTCACAGGCCACTGCACAGTCATCACAAGGTAATCACTGTTGGTTACTACCAAGTGGTGTCTTAACACGAGGTGCACCATCATCCTCCACCCAGGCTGAGAAGGTGATTTACAGCTGAGAACTTCCATAAGGGAGATTCTGGCAAGTGTACCTGGGTTTGGAAATCCAACTCACCTGTCTCCTGGCTTAAACTCCCGTGAAATCTTGGTCTTCTTCTTCTTGTGCTTCCGCTTCAAGTTTTTGATGGAAAGAGGGATGCTCTTCTTGCGGCCGGTGCCACTGCCGCTCTGGGATGAGGCAGTGGAGCTAGCAGAAGAGGTGACAGAGCTAGTGTCATCGGTGTCATCAGCTGCCTCATCATCAGCATCTTGCTCCATGGACTGAAGCCGGTAGTCGGACGAGCCTTCATCTTTCAGCAGAAAGGGAGGCTGCTGCTGTCGCGCTGCTGCTCCCCCTTTCTCCTTCCCCGTTTCTTCAGGCTGCTCCTCCTTTCTCTCCCCAGGACTCGACGCACTGGTGGAAGAATCATCCAGCTCACACTTCGATTCAGGCTTAAGCTCTTCTGATTTTTGGTCAGCAGCTGCAGCAGACTCTTTGTCAGGGGCTTCGCTGGTACCCTGAGACTCCGGGGAGCACGACATGATCTTCACTATCTGCTTCTTCAGCAGTCGCCTCACCTAGAGAGAGCAGACCTGGGTCAGACAATATTCCTGGACACTCAGCAAGCTGCCAGCCAACCTGGGGAATGCTCAGAGGAAAACAGCACTCTGTGGGCCTCTGTACAGTTCACCTGCACCATGGTATGCTGCAAAGCAGCATCTGGCCACCGCTTTCTACTCAGGAACCGGACTAGTCCAAGGAAAGCGAGCTTTGCTCCTTAAGGCTATTTTAAGCATGTTCTGAACTTTTTGTTATGGAAGGTCACAAGAGGCTGCAGAAGTTAATCTATGTAACAGACACAGCTATGCAGGGAGGTCACCATCCCTACTGATGATATCCTGTTATTCTAGGAACACCGCTGCTCTCAACTGGCCTAGGAAGCGGAGACTTCTTTCCTGTCTCACTGTAGCAAGGATTTAAGTGAACAGCTCAGCTCCACGAGAAACCTGAGGTTATGCTGATGGAAACGACACGTGTCTAACAGCCCCGGCTGTCAGAGCACGCCAGCTCTGACACAGTTTGACCCCCTGCAAGGTGACACCTTTATGTTCAAGGTCCTGTTCATGTTCTCCGGTGGCGTTAGCCGCACGCTGCGCTCAGTGCGGTCAGGCTGCCTGTACAAGGTTACTTTGCTGCTGGCAACAACAAGCCATTACTCTTTAAAACAACTACTTCAGGAGTCACATTTCAGACCACATGACTACCAGGAAGATTTCTGCTTTAAAAGCCTCAGAGATGAGAAATGCATAGAGAAGTCAATGCCTTCCTCAACCCCTCCAACTTACCTTTTTGGCAACGGATCCTTCCCCCAGGACACAGTTCCTCTCTGGGTATTCACAGGTGATTTTTGCAGGTTCCACTTTGTCCGGGAACACATAGAGGCACCTCTCCCCGAGCTGCCTTTGGGCATGGTCAAAGCACCCCAGCCGCTTTACCCTGGTAGAACAGTAAGAGAGCCATGAGCAAAGGGCAAAAGCAGTAACAGAACCCAGCAGTGACCAGGGCCTTCACAAGGCTGGCATGACCTCATGCCAACGGCACTTCTTCTGGGGTAGCAGAAGCCAACACCACACCAAATCTTTTCCAGCCCCACAATTCTAAAGGAGGAGTGGGAAATCTCACCAGGGACTGGGTGGGGATACAAAGGGTTTGGGTGGGACCCCAGTCACTCCTCTGCCTATAGCTCCCCCTCCCAGACACAGCTGCCAAGAGACATTTGAAGTTAGCATTATTTTTTTTTTGCTGTCATCTGAGAGTTGCCCTCCTCCAGCTAACGAACTCCAGGCAGAAACCAGAGTGCATTGTGCTATTTATTAACTCATCTGACTTTTCTTTCCCAGTTTTGTCCAGCCCATTGTTGCAGCTGCAGCCTGCAGAGGGCACCCGATGCTCCCTCAGCACCAGCCTGGCTCCGGAGCAGGACACCTTCACTACCTACTGCACACACACGCAGTCAAAAGAGGCATCCTGCTCCAGACACAACTGGAAGGACAAGGGGAGAAGCAAACTTTTGCCATACACCCCTTTCCTCTATGCATTTGTCAGCTGGAGAGTTCTTGGAGAGGAGTGGTGGGATGCCAGCCCCTGTATTGGCAACTTTTAAAGCATCTAATTTGGAATACACAGCGAAAAACCCACTGGAAGCAGCAGCATTGTGTCTGATCAGTTAGTAGGGATGTCACCCAGAGTCTCTGCAAGCCCTGGGTGCTGGGAGTGAAAAGAGGTTTTCAACTGATCTCACCTGGACAGTTTATCCTGGGTGATTATCGAGGGAGGGGGACTCACACTGTCAGTACCTCCAGGACAGAAGCTTTTAGTGATCCAAGTAACCTTTAGTTCTACCACCTGTACCTACAGTGTAAAGAGAGAGAAGGCAATTTAATTTTTCAGAGGCTTTTCTAAACCAGTGTCTAGGATTTGAACGTTTACACACAGGAAAGCAACAAACCTGTTTTTATCATTGACAGTGGCCAAACACAGTTTCACCACATCCAGGACCACTATAGTGCTCCCATAGCATAGCTCTTGGCAACACCAGGAGCTTCTATATTTTTTAACTTCAAGAAAGACATCTGGGCTTAGGAAGGAAGCTATGTGTACCTACAAATCAGAAGTCCAATGTCCCAAAGACAAGCGCTAATGGACTTGCAGCTGCTTCCTCTTTCAGCAAAGAGTCAGAAACATTTCTCCTTTTTTTGGATAGCATGCAAAGTTAAACTTCAATAGAAGAGGTGCTTATAGCACCCTATGGATCAGCAGTGCTGGCCTCTAAGCGTATCACACACCATCACCTTACAGGGTGTTGGCAGGGACCCCTGGGAGAAGCCAAACCAAGCTCAGAAGTCCTGTCAGTCCACAACGAGGAAATCTGTCACCTCAGAACACCAGCCACAGCACGTGTGCTTTCAGAAGGTGACCATGGCAAGCTGATTCTGCTCCCAAACGCCAGCCAGGGACCACTCTGTACAGAAGGTGGCCGTGTGTCAGCTTGTCACTCCTTACCTCTTCCACCACCACTCTGAACTTGCTCTTTGTGCTCAGAACAGGCTTCACACCCGAGAGCCACTGCACGCTGGAGAAGACTTTAGAAGGCCCAATGAGGACTTGCCCAGGATAAAAGCCGTATGAATCATCAAAGAAGAGACCCTGTGGGAGAAAAAGGAAGGAAAAAAAGACAGCATAAAGGACTGTCACTCTTAAGATTTAAGATTCTGGCATTTCTCTTCTCTCATTCATGATCAGTACAATCAACCATAAAGGAAAAGTCCACAAGTTGCCCATCTCAAAGCTCATTCCTCCCCTGAAGTCAGCCCAGCAGTTCCTATAGCAACCCACTGTCACACGTGTATGGGGACTATGACTTGGGGAGGGGGGAGAAGCAAAGGCACCCGGGGAACACAAAAGATGTAGATTTCCACCCAAATGTTCTCAGTAACAAGGTAGCCAAGGAGAGCTGAGTCCTGGCCGAGGACACCCATCTCTTTTCCATGCTCTAATTCAAGCACCTACACCTTTCAGAGCCAGAGGATTCCTACCTTCACTCCTCTGCTTGTCAACTTAAGCTTGTAAGGATTATTCCTGTCTGAGGTGGATTAGTTAATATGACAGTTCTTTGAAAACAAACCAGGACGGTAAACACAACAGTTGTTGTCCTAGAGCTCTTTCCCACTGATACTTAGAGTGACTTGATGAGCTGAAGATTCAAAATGTGGGGGCGGACAGAGCAGTTTAGGGTAGATAAAATACCGAGTACAAAACTGTATCGAGTCTTGTAATTTGTCAGAAAGGATAAGAGAAGTGCAACAAGATCTAAGTCAGGTAAATATCTAACACACGGCAACTCTGAGTACAGGATCAAGAATAACACCGGAGACAAATCACGTTTCAAACCAAACAGCAAGCCCTCAGAGGACTACAAATACTTTTAAAGGCAGCCTGACTCAAAACAAGTTCTCTCAAAACTGGGTACCCAGAAGCTGGATGCTGCTACAGCATCCATTTAGCAGGCAGAAAACACTCTGCATAACCCAAAGTAGCAGAGGCCAAGATACTGGAGAATATCTAGCCACAGACCACACCTTTTTTCTGTACAGAACAAGAAAACCACAGCAGCACATCGAATTAAACTGAGATTCTATTTACTCTTCAAGAAACAGGTGTCAAATTTTAACAGAAGTGCAGTTTTAGATCAAAGGGACCTTTGCTTTGAAGGCAGGGAAGGATAAGGGCTGACTGCATTGCTAGTTCCTAAGAATTATGTGCCATTCTCAGTCAACTCCCAGTAGCGCTGCCGGGAGAGCAGCACGGCCCTACCAATGCTGTTTGGAAGAACAAGCAGAACAAGTTAGATCCCATCATCACACAGGAAACTCTATGTTTTACCCAAAAGCAGGCAAAACCTTCCCCACCACATGATCTGGAAAATGCCAGTATTGTGGCAGGTCTCCATTCATGGAACATGATGGATTACAGTTGCAAGAGAAACAGTATTTTACATTGTCTGGAAACGTGCTTCTGGCAGAACACTTTTTAAACAACATGTCCTTTTCCAGAAGGGGGACAATTTTGAAAACATTAAATGGAGTAAGAGCCTTTTCAAGCATGTACAGATATAATGAGCAGCCACTGAACTTGACATCAGCCATCTGACTGCACATTATGCAAGGTGTTTGCATAGAAAGCAGCTGGATATGCTAATTGTGATACCTCCTCAAAACCTGCTCATTACTAACATCACCATTAAGCTACATCCTGTTACGCTTACTTCAAGTGAAGATCTAGTGAAGTGTTTTTCAGCTGTGATACATCATTTAATTTTTAGGATCAATAAGTGCCTACGGTTTTGCCTTTCCCCTCCCCTCCTGCAGAAAAAGCTCCCAAGATGAAGTTGATCAAAAGGACTCTGAGGAGAACCAGAAGCTCACCGAGTCACTGACGTGAGGACAAACATCGTACAGCTTGGCTCCATCTTCCGTGCTCATAGAACACCTGGAAAACAGACAAGAGACACGGTCACATTTCCAGAACCATCCATCCCGAAAGCAAACAGCACCAAATTAACTGCCACTGCCCGACTGGGTCTGCCCACGTGCCCAGCAGAATATTGCTGAGCTTTACAGCCCACAGCAAAACTGGTTTTAGACAAGCTATAAAAGCACTGCCTTGGTATTTAAAGGTTCCCTTCAGCATGTAAAAAAATAATATGCAGGGTGCTGGACAAGATTTGTCTGCTGCAAAGTCCCATTTGTTATTCATACTGACACCAGAACCTAAAGGCAATTTGGGTGTATTTTGCTTCAGTAATAGCTTCATTTCCAGAGTGAGTTCTGGTGGGATTTCAAATGATTCATTAGGATGAGATTTTGAAAACAGTTACCTCACTTTACATAGCTATGCATGAGCTGGTAACAGAAACCAAGCAAGGCTTTGAATTGCAGCAGTAACTGCAGATGATACAGACAGAGAAGTGTAGCTATTTTTTGCTCCCAGTTTTAACATATGCCTAAGAGCCTTCCAGCCTGGGTTAACCCAACAACTGAAATATCAGATGCATCCACCAATCATCCATTCTAGCTCTTGCGTATCTTGCTTCTCTTAGGAAGGCTCAGAGCTGGCTGCAGGGTTGTGGGTTTGTTTTATTTTTCATTTTTTTTTAACACCGACACTGGAACCTAAAGGCAATTTGGGTGTATTTTGCTTCAGTAATAGCTTCATTTCCAGAGTGAGTTCTGGTGGGATTTCAAATGATTCATTAGGATGAGATTTTGAAAACAGTTACCTCACTTTACATAGCTATGCATGAGCTGGTAACAGAAACCAAGCAAGGCTTTGAATTGCAGCAGTAACTGCAGATGATACAGACAGAGAAGTGTAGCTATTTTTTGCTCCCAGTTTTAACATATGCCTAAGAGCCTTCCAGCCTGGGTTAACCCAACAACTGAAATATCAGATGCATCCACCAATCATCCATTCTAGCTCTTGCGTATCTTGCTTCTCTTAGGAAGGCTCAGAGCTGGCTGCAGGGTTGTGGGTTTGTTTTATTTTTCATTTTTTTTTAAAAATCAATGTCAACACTCAATTTACAAGACAGATTAGTCATTCCCAGCTGCCCAGCCCATAAGCCTCTCGGCCCTTCACTGGTTCCTTCCTTCCCTTGCATCAGTAATAACAGTTTAACAAGACAGACCTCAGTAACGGAGTGAAGTTAATGAATTCTGAGGGGTTTAGTTCACAAGTAACTGCCTGGCATGCACAAGGAAAAGAATTCAGATCTTCCTGCTGGCTTTGCAGAATTACAAAATAAGTTAACCAGGTATTTCTTGCAGTATTTCTGGTTAAGTCTCTCCAGAGACATGACTCTGGACTACAACTTCATTGAAAACATACATTCCTAATAAAGTTGCAAATAACAGTGCAAAAGCAAAGCTGTTCAATTTTGGGCTGCTTTTTTGCCTTTGATGAAAACTGCCACCCTGCAGGGTTCTTCACTTTCACAGATTTTTTTTTTTTTTTGTTAAGGTAAAAATCCTCCCTCCCTGCATCTCAGTGAAGTTACGCTCTCCTACAGAGAAAAGGTCTGGAATACGTGCTCCACCTTTAACAGCCACTTTTCCAGGAGAGATGTGCAGTTTAAAGACTAGTGTGCTTTAGTTCTGATACAATGATCTGCTGAGATTGAAAAAAAAATTGTCACTTTTCAGACAACAGCTTTTCCAGAGGATGACCAATGAATCTCAATGTTTTCTGAGAAAGATGCGTTCTTACTCTACATATGAAGTTAACGCGAGGAGATAAACTTATCAGTAGGTGAATGAGAAGCCCAGTCTGTTCTTAGTTCTCTTAAAACAGATCATGAAACCCAAGAGGGACAATTTTCAACAGAAAGTACCTGGCTCCATTGGAAAGCTTGAGGATGACCTGATTCTTCAAATCATAGACCTTGCCCAGCCAGCAGTCATAGGCTATGTAGTCACCATACATGAAAGGCTAGGGAGAAAACAGGAAACAAAACCTTATAAATATCCACCTTTGTAACTCTGAGCCATCAAGGAGGCTCTCACACAATGCAGACTAGATAGCAATCTCAAAGGGATTTAGGACAGCAACTGCAGATTTCGGCCTAAACAGGAATTAAGGCACATTGAAGAGTTTGCTTGACAGCACGTTGCCTGGATTCTCCAGTTAAACAGCTCAGGCTTTCTCTGGGGAATTTTTCCTTGGATCTTAAACTTAATTAAGATTTTTTTGGTTTGGTGGATGTTGTTGTGTGTCAGCTCAGGCTTTCTCTGGGGAATTTTTCCTTGGATCTTAAACTTAATTCAAGTGTCCCGTTCTGTTCAAGAGGTGCTCTGCAACATAGAGGTGTACTCACACTTGCCTCCAGTTAATATTTACAGTTAATTTTTATCACAGAGCCTAATTTTCCATCCCAGAGAAGCCTGTATCCCACTGCCTTTCCACAGGCTATTCCTTGAGAGGGGTTGTGACCCGCCTGCTCTTCACTCCCAAATAATCTTTTTCTCAGAGGAAAAAGAATAATGAAATATTATCCTGCCCTGTCTGTGGAAATCACCCACCCACTCAAGAGGGAGAACCAGGTATGCTTCAGACTGTTCCAGCTCAACAGAAAAATGCTTGGCTCATCCCAGCATTTGTACAGCCTGTTTAAGCTTAAAGTGTCCTGTTCTGTTCAAGAGGTGCTCTGCAACATAGAGGTGTACTCACACTTGCCTCCAGTTAATATTTACAGTTAATTTTTATCACAGAGCCTAATTTTCCATCCCAGAGAAGCCTGTATCCCGCTGCCTTTCCACAGGCTATTCCTTGAGAAGGGTTGTGACCCTCCTGCTCTTCACTCCCAAATAATCTTTTTCTCAGAGGAAAAAGAATAATGAAATATTATCCTGCCCTGTCTGTGGAAATCACCCACCCACTCAAGAGGGAGAACCAGGTATGCTTCAGACTGTTCCAGCTCAACAGAAGAATGCTTGACTCATCCCAGCATTTGTACAGCCTGTTTAAGCAGTAATGATATTGCAGCTCTGTGCCACCGCCATGGGGCTGCCCCAACCAGGTTGTCACACCAGCCCATCTCAATGCAGAAATTCTCACACAATTTAATGTCAACCTAGGCCTCCAAGTCAATTTGGTCTCAGGAATGTGATCAGCAACACTGTAATGATATTGCAGCTCTAAAGCTCTGTGCCACCGCCATGGGGCTGCCCCAACCAGGTTGTCACACCAGCCCATCTCAATGCAGAAATTCTCACACAATTTAATGTCAACCTAGGCCTCCAAGTCAATTTGGTCTCAGGAATGTGATCAGCAACACAGAACAGATGGGGAGATGAGGAGATACTGCATCATCTCTTTCCAGGGAGGATGCCTGCAGTAAGTTTAAAATAAAACCAAACTGCAGATGCATCTTGCACAATATGGATGCTTCCCTTCCACGTGTTATTTGAAATACAGCAGCATTTCTCCAAACCACCAGGCCCTGGCTCCCATGTGTATTCTGGCTGCGTTCTTACCCAGATATGTTGCAGGTCTTTGCTGTTGACAGGGTAGAGGATGCAGTTGGTTCCAACCAGCTTCACAGCACACTCGATGTTGACATCAATTACAGTTCCACACTGGGTGTCCTGAAAATACAAAAGAGAAAAAAGGGTTTATCACCTTGGGAAGGTCCTACATACACACGTATGTACTCTGAGTACATATCACAAGTGCAGAGACAAGGAAACTTTCAGGACTAAACCCCCTCTTACCTTCCAGGCCCTTTTTCTTAAGGGGCATTTCACATGACCCTAAGACAACTCGGAAGGTGAGAGCACTACTAAAGCCCTGCAGTGTTTTCTTCCCAGTTAGAATTTGCAATGGCTGCTAAAACAGCAGCCCAGAGACTCCTGCACCTGGTCAAATAAAACCACACTTTGTCAGATGATTAATATTTACTTGCTTTAAAATCTGCCTGCTTCCTTGGTCTATTCAGTCAAGGACCATCCTGCAGGTACTGCCCTGAGCCAATAAAGGCAGAAGTAGATCATCAGCCCAAGAATGAAAGAAATTCTTTAAAGCTATCTGTGACTTCTCATGCAAAGTTTGATTTTGCAGGACACTATAAATGGTCTTCACTTGCTGCCATACTAAAAAAAAATAAAAGTTGGCACCTTTAGTCAGATTTCAAGGTTTCAAGCCAGATATTTTACAGTTGGTCCAATTAGGAGATGGTTGTTATTACCTCCCTCACTTTTCAAGCAAAGTTTTATTCTTTTTTGTCCCTGAAAAGATAACGCATGCTGTCGAGAGCCTTCTGGGGATAGCTGGCAGGGAGCACACAATATGCACGTTGCTCACACATATGGTGGAGGCCTGCAAGGAAGGGCTGCTAACCCAAACACTGTCAACCATGGCAGCTGCACTGGCCTCCTGACAGCTGGGACAATCGATACTCTTATTTATTAAAGACCATGAGTCCATTATAAAAGTTGACTGAGGGCCAGCGTGACAAATGCCCTGGTATCAGCAACTTCTGAAGCTGTCCTTATCTCAAACATCAAGGTCTCTGCTCCAACAGGACTTGAATGTAACACTCGAAGGGCTTATACCCTGTGAGAAGTGCATTTGTTTGCTCAGTCCACTTATAAACAAGCTGTTCTTTCGGCCACATCAAATATTTATTCAAAGCTTTCACTCAGAGCCCTGGGCAGGGGGTTCAGGAGTTTGCTGGTGCTCAACTCATCCAGTCTCATCTTGGGGACATCTTAGAGCAAAGACACCCTACAGACACCCGCAGTCCAGGATAACAATTCCTGGACAGATTGCTCAGTCCATTTGGCTGGATTGCCTTCCACCTGCCTGCTGCCAGTCCTCTTCCTCACATCACACAAACCCTGTGCTCCTCACCCCCCGAGGAGGTGGTGATGAGGAGAGTGGGTCCTGCCCCATGTGTCACTGTGCCAGCATGGCCAGGAGGGCTGGCACAGCCCAAGGCAGTAGGGGCTCATTCCCTCTCCAGCTGCTCTGTATCACTCCCATTTCTTTCTAGAAAGGCTGGGAAGCAGAAGGAGCTTTTCCCAGCTCCAGCTCCATCACAGCAGACAGCAGCTAAGCCTGCATGGGCTGCCAGGAAAGAGCCCAGCAGAGCTGGACGGTAACTCTCACCTGAAAAGGGTTTGCCAGAACAATGTCAGATTCACAACAGGCACTGCCAGCATCCTTCGAGCTGTGGGATGAGCGAGGTTTGCTCAGAAGTGGCACCTGCTCAACAGACCCACAACTTCTGCAGGCTACAGCACAGCCACCTACCTTGCTTTTCCTCCAGGCTGAGCTAAATTAAGTATGCCCAGTGCATCCTCTGCCCATGCTTTGCAGTTCAGGCCCTGTGTTTTGGATTGCTTAGCAAAAAATCCTCAAGAAACAAATTCCTTGCTCTACACCGAGCATTTCAGAATTATTTTTTTCTTTATCAGTAGCCAACATGACAGCAACTCTGAGACACAATACAACCCAACACCTGCAGTTTCTGTGGGTCATCTTGTCTCTGGCCCTAAACCTCCTCTTTATGGTGAAAGAATAATGAGTAATAAAACCAGGACTGGGGCAACTGACATAGACCAACACCCTCTGCCCATTCTCCAAGTGGCAGTTTCCCCATGGAGAAGGTGCCTGCACCACCACACCCAACACAGTTGGGTTCCATGGGCAAGAGCACCAGGTTTAGTTCAGTTTGCTTCTCCTTCCATTGCAGAAGACTGGAGGGAGCACAGAGCATCCTCTGTGGATAAGAAAGCGGAGACTGATGCTGTGAGTAGCCCCAGAAGCTGCAGAGCCACAGCTCTCCTCCCTCACCTGCCACCGAACCTTTGTTTATTATGAGTTTATCTCCCAGTCACATGAAACATGAGCTGGCCGCAGGGGAGGCGGGTTTGCAGGCTGAGGGGTTCTGCTGAATCACTCCATGGGATTATGGCAGAGCTCAGCGACGCAGTCCCAGAGCAAGAAGTCGCCAGCTTGTCTCTTGTCTTCCAGGGCAGGTCGTCAGCCAGAGCACGGCTCCCCACCAGTCTGCTCGAGTACAACCGTCCCAGTCTGTCCATTAGATGTTCCCATTAAAGGAGGGGCCAAATGAAATAACCTGACATTTCAGTTCTGCTACAAAAATCAATTTCCATCAACCCCAACAGCAGAACTGGAAAAAGGAGGCAACTGATCTTCCTTAGGAGAGTTGATGGGTTCAAGCCCCACTCCCACCAGAATTAAGTGCACCCCCTAGACTTTTTTCCTGCTTCTTCTGGTACCCTGACAGCATGCACCATGCTGGAGGTACTGGATATTTAAACAGTGAATGGATGGAGAAGTGACTTGACTCCTTCCCTATCAGTAACAAGGCTTTAAGGCAGACCAGCAAACTCCCATCTGAGAGAGCAGCAGCTCAGCAAGCATCAGCTTCAACCCTGTATCTTCTACCACCCACCCTTCTTTTTCTCTCAACACTCTCTTTTCTAATAAGGGGATCTTTACACCACTCTCATTCCTTTATTTAAAAGGGACAACATTGCCCAGCGCCCTTTGAAGCAACAAAAATCCAGGTGTCTGAGATTACAGACCAAATTCTAATCTTTCCCCCAAAATGAGCATACTGCCTGGGAAAATGGACTCTGCCACCCTCACCACTCCTCATCCAGCTGGATCAGACCTACAGCCCCAACCGCATCCCGAGAAAATGACCTCATCTGACGCATTACCCCCTGAAGCAGTCTCTTTCCCCACACTCAGTGCTTGATGAGAAGCACATGAATTTGACTCAGCTCTCTTCTCTTGAGGAACAGAGGATTTCGAGTCCTTCCCGCTCAAGGTTAAAAGCAAGCCCTAAGAGAGTGTGGTGAATACAAAATAAGTTCCACACTGTGCCTTTGCCAGGCCAACTGGTGGCAGGGCAACCATCCCACATCCTGAATTTGGCAGGCTGACACTTGCAGATTTTCTATTTTAAATGCTCTTATAATTTTTGGAATACATCTGATTAACAAGTGAAGGTGTTCTTTGGGATAGAAGGGGTTTGTTTCATTCACCATTTAAAACATATTTGAGGGTAAGGTGAAGTCTAAGTTATCTTCAGATTTGCTATGCTGTTGAATAGGGAGAAGAAATTGAGTTATACCCTCACCAAAAAATCAATTTAAAAAAATATGAAGTTATCAGTCATTATTACAAATGGTGAAGAAAAACCTAGTGTTTAAACGTGCAAACAGACAATAAATGAGCATGAAACCCACTGGTGGGTAATATATCTACTGATACACGTGCAGCAAGCCAGAGAATCCAATTTCTGCTCAAATGACTATGGAAATTGCAAACAAAAGCAGCACATCCATGTTTGCCAAGAGGAGAACAACTTGCTGTCTCGAAAGCTTCAAATTACTTCAAGAAGCACCGGAGAACAGACAGTTGAGAGGCAGGACTCAAAGCATCCCTCTGAGCAAGAAGGATACAGTACAGAGTCCCGCTGTGCCAGGTACAACAGCGTGAACAGCTGATAATTCAATTTGTTAGCTCTTCTTTGTCTTGGATTGAAATGCTTCTGTAAAACTGCAGCTCTAGTAAGATGTGTTGACTCCCCATTTCCATTTCAAACAACCAGTAAATTTCTTAAGGAAATCTTTTGCTTCAGCATTTTGCAAATTACCCTTCAAGTCTTTCCTCCCTTTTCTTCTCTTTGGAACATTCTGTGCAAAAGGGGTGGGCTTATATTTTTTTTTCCTATTGATAAAAAAGGCTTTCTTTTAAAAAAACCCCAATACACTCAGGTCAGAGATGAGCCTTCCCCATCCCTACACCAGGCTGCACACCATGTGGTGTAAGTGCAGCAGTTAGTGGCCAGCTGCCTGCTTCATCACAACCTTGGTAGCCACATGGCTGGAAGCAAGTCAAGAGAAGATCCAGGCGTGCACATGGCAGGCCATATGGCTCCGGGTTATAGGTTAGGTGTGAGCCCCAGCAAAAAACTGCCAGCCCAGCTAAGCTCCTAAAGAGACCACATATCATCTAATAATCCACACTGAACAACGCTCCCAGTATTTCCTACACAAAACCCCAAATCCACGCATCTTTGATAAGCACAAATGCTGTACAATTAGAATGAAATGACTAGGACTTAAAATAGTATCCAGGAAGAGTAAAGGTAATGATTATAGACTGCTGATTAAGAACAGCTTGCTTTCTGCCAACCTGGCTGTGTCAGATGCTTCAGCAGTGTTGGGATTTGCTGTATTTCTGGGAGAAATTGGATAAAATGGCGCTCAGCGTAGATTGAGAGGTCTCTCTGAAAACACTTCCTCCAAATTCTCTACCACAGCACACCAAAAGGCACACAGTGGCTCCCTGATCTGTCTCCTCTCCAGCCTCCCTGGTAGGCTCGGTCCGTGCTCCCCACATCTCAGAATGGATTGATTTAAAACTTAAAAGGATGGCAGGATCGACAAGCGTCTCGTCTCAGTACCTGACATTATCAGGCTCGCTTGCTCAGGAGACCTTTGCAGATATGCAACAGTAGAGAGGCAGCCTTATCAGCATTTCATTTTCAAAGGACGCAGCTAGGTCTATCAAACACACTAAAAATATAACATGCTCAAAGCATTACTGTTCAGTTCCATTCAGGCAATTTGGCAAGTCTTAGAAATCCATGCAGCAGGATCACAATCAAAAAAGGGACAAAGAAAAAAAGCACTTACGCTGGAGCTCATATGTCTGACCACATCTCGAGGGACCACAGAACGATCTTCAAGCTTCAGCTAAGGGGAGAGAGAGAAAGAGACACTGAATTTAGTGACCCCAGATGATAGTCAGAAACAACATGACAAATACAAATGCACAGTATCCCAATCCTCTGGACTGAGATGGTTTTCAGCAGAGCATGCTGAGGCACTTCCATACACAGAGTTAACCCCCTTGGCGCATCCGCAAAATCCAGTTGGCAGATCCAAAAGAGAGGAACAGAAGATCTGTCCACGACTGCTCTAGGGCAGCAGACACATCAAAAAGGGGTGCAGATATTCTGAGTCGCACAACACTACAAGTCTCCCTCTCCTCTGCCTGCATCACGCTAAAATCCAGTTGGCAGATCCAAAAGAGAACAACCAACAGGTCCATCCATGACTGTGTTCTAAAGCAGCAGACACATCAAAAAGGGGTGCAGACATTCTGACTTGTACAACACTGCAAGTCTCCCTCTCCTCTGCCTGCATCACGCACCATCCCCTACCCACAGCCATAATCTATGTACAGGAGACAACATAGGCACAAGAAGCAGCACATCACACCACAGTTCTGTGTCTCATCCTGCACACTTGTCACCCAAGATACCCCCAAATATCTGTGGAAATCCCGTTTGGCCTGGAACATTTTAAGCAAGGTCCTGTACAGCGAGAAGTCTCAGCTGGCAGGGGAATTGGTATGAAATTCACTGCAGCAAGCACTTGCCTTGGAAAAAAATGAAAAGAAATGGCTCTCACTGCACTTATTAGCCCCCAGGTCCATGCAGGCAACACAAGACATTGCTGAAAGCATGGATAAAGTCAAAGCACTGCTCATACTCCAGCTCCTGCTAAAGCACTTGCTGGCAAAGAGCGAGTGCTGGCAACAAAACATGTGGTTGGACCATCATTACACGTTCTGCATTAGTTCATGCAGAGTTGTGGCCACCAGGAGTCATTACTGGTAAGGGGAGGTGTCACTTGATGAATCTCCAGCCATTACTGGTCAGTTAACCAAGTGATATCCTTCATCAAGCAGTTTCAGTGATCTCAAGACTACATGCAGGCTGTTTCATTAAATGTTACCAACAAGCTCAATGCTTCAAAGTGCAGTTGTGGTCGAGCACACTGGCACCGAAATGCTCTGTGAGGGATAATGTCCTAAGCACCACTGACAGGGAGGTCACAGCACTGAACCCCAGTTTCAGGCTCTCTCGGCCCCACTGTAACTCAGTTCAGATTCCTGTCTCCTGAACAGGGAGAAATCTCACCTGCATTTCGGTGGCCAAGAACATATTTGTGTTGGTGCATGGTTCTGAGCCTTCAAACACACTAATTACACATCATGTGAATGTGGTATCAGGGACAGAGCTTCTCCCACATCTCACCTTCAGAACCCACGTGTCCCCTACTGCTGCATTCCTTGCTTAAGTGATGTCCTTCAAAAAGCAGGTCCTTCATCAAGCAGTTTCAGTGAACTCAAGACTACATGCAGGCTGTTTCATTAAATGTTACCAACAAGCTCAATGCTTCAAAGTGCAGTTGTGGTCGAGCACACTGGCACCGAAATGCTCTGTGAGGGATAATGTCCTAAGCACCACTGACAGGGAGGTCACAGCACTGAACCCCAGTTTCAGGCTCTCTCGGCCCCACTGTAACTCAGTTCAGATTCCTGTCTCCTGAACAGGGAGAAATCTCACCTGCATTTCGGTGGCCAAGAACATATTTGTGTTGGTGCATGGTTCTGAGCCTTCAAACACACTAATTACACATCATGTGAATGTGGTATCAGGGACAGAGCTTCTCCCACATCTCACCTTCAGAACCCACGTGTCCCCTACTGCTGCATTCCTTGCTTTTCCTGGTTGATCCCCAGCCCAAAAAAAGCCCCTGTGCTTTGTCAGCATTTCATCCTAATCCATACCCTGGCTTACAGCCTGCTTTACTAAATTAGACATAAATCTATAGTCCAAGGACAGGATCCGGAATCAAACCAAAGCACCTGAGTATTTATTGCCTTCTTGATAGCATGTCTCAGTAAGAGAGGAAGAGAGCCAGCCAGCCAGGCTTTTAGACCCAACTTCTGGAGTCAGAACTCCACCAGAGTGGGAAACCTGAAGCCTCCCACAGCCCATTTCCAGACTGTGGAAGTGTTTTCATTGCCTCCCACATCCCACCAGGGTATATAGATAGACATCAATTTTTATACAGCTTTCTAAAATTATTTGTTAAAATAAGCACTGTATAGATAGCCTCTTAACATCCAGAACCAGGCAGCAACGTTCACATTCCAGTAAGTACTCACGCGTGAGCAGCAGTTTGGGTATTTTACCCGGAGTTCTCTCCCTGCAGAGCTCCAGGTATACAATGATACTTTCATTTCAACACACATTAGGGTGATTTATTCTCTGACATGTGGTGCTTAAATTGATGCATTATGTTTCAAGGTATCGTTGAGCCACACCACTCCATTCTGTTAGACAGTATGGGAAGACCTCAGACTGACAAGATGGTCCCATGCTCCCTGGCAGCAGCAATATTTGGGCGTTACTCAACTCTGGTAAGTCATAAAAAGTTATAAACGAGCAGCTTTCCCATTCTGTGATCCTTCCTGAAGGATATAATCACACAAATTCTTCCCAAAGCGAGGCATAAAACTTTCTCTGCAGGGGAACTACATTTAACCCATTATCCAGTCTCTTGATTTTTAAAGGCAGCCCAACTATTTTCAGCTTCATGTGCCAGACCCACCTGCCTCAGCCGCTAGGATAAGCAAGCCCAGTAGTAGGCAGAATGCCAGCATCAACAATAAATACGTAGCAGGTCTGTCATCACACAAAAAAGACTGTCAAAACCCAGAAGAAGCCTGACCAGAAGAAACCAGAACGGCTGTCAATGAACACACCAGAGCTCAGTCATCCCCCCCGATGCCATCACCAGCCGAAGGTCAGCCCCCTCACACTCAGCAGCGAGGGAACTCAATATTGGAGAAGCGCTTTAAAAATAGATACTTACAGCTCAGTTGCTATGTTTAGCTCTAGGAAAGTCAGTATTAACATGACTAGTTTTATATTCCAGCCATGAGCTTTGGTAATAGCCCCAAGAACGAGAACTATCGGTTTCCCAGAGATGCTCTCAGCCAGTCCTGCACTGGTGCAAACCAAGCTGGGCTCAGGTTCCTCCGAGCACCTCAAATTCAAGGTGTGTTGTGTGAAACACACCTTTTTAGAAAATAAATTCACATTGATGTATGTTAAGTAAGGCAAACCAAAGACGTTCCTCAGTGCACCCATATTTAACCCAGGCAAAAAGTGATGACCAACACCCACCCACCAGCAGTTGGTTAGTGAACAACTGCGAAAAGACGAGACAGAACATCTCTGGCACCCATTTATTTCCTCTGCTCTTCAGATGCTCTGGGTGCTCAGCACTGAATCAATGCCCAAGCTCCACAGCCCATCTACTCATCAAAAGGCACCAGCTGCAGCTCGGAGAACATCTGATACTTCACCAGGTCTGATGATGCTGTCATACCAACACAGCAGGAGGGGGACAGAAATTCTGATTTCTGCATAGAGAACAAGCACCAACAGGAGCGTGTTCCCCTTCACCGCTGAGTCACCTCACCCTCAATGACATAAGGTAGCCATCACAGCTCTCACCTGAAACTGGGTAGAGTAGGAGAGATGGAGAGATATTCCTGCCTAGCTGCTGAGTATTAACTCATTAAGCCTTGGTAGCTTATCAGGGATGGGCCAAACTCACACTGTAACTTCTCTGGGTTTAACCTCTAAACCCCATAAAGCAAACAGGAGACAAAGGGCCAATTTTCCTCTCCAACATCTACCTTCTGACAAGAGATCAAACCCAGAGTAATTTGTTTTGATGGTTTGGACCAGCCAGCAATGCCAAGTATGGTGGCAGGTAAATAAATAGAGATCATTTCTGAAGTTTGGTGACAAATAGTAGAGGAGTTGCTGAGATTGACAGAGGAACAACTAGCCCTGGTTGTCCCAGGAGATAATTACAAACTGTCCTCTGCTCCAAACAACCCAGAAACAGAAGCTGGGGGAGAAGCTTAACCTCAGAAGGGAACCACAGTTTTAAAGGCTGAATATATCTATGTGCAGTCATTGGATTTTCAGCCTCAAATACGCCAGGACACACCTTTTGCACAGGCTTCCAGAAGAGCCGACTACTCAGTGAACCTTGCAGGTTCAGCCCATGCTTGGACACCAGGAAGGACCTTGGCACTATGACTCATCATTGCCCAAGGCTGAACATCAGATCACAATTCCTTCAGCTATTAACACCCAGCGACACATAGGCTTGGAAGCAGCACACCTTTCCCCTGGATCAGCCACGGTTTTACAACAGCCATTTCTGCTCAGCCACCCAGAACCTGCCATGGCCATGGAAGTGACACCTGATCCAGCATAAAGCTTGCCAATACCAACTTTAACCACTAAAGTTCACGCTCGGTCAGTGCTGTCTCATATAACCATAATGTCTGACCAGTAAAGAGTAAGATTTGCTCCAGGGTGCCAGTATGATCCCACAGCCTCTCCCTCCAACACAATCACTGCAGTGAGGAGCACATCAGTTTCTCTTCCAGACATGTTCCAGATTTTATCCTCCCAAACAACAGCTCTGGGAATAAGCACATAAGGATGGAGGAGAAAAAGCAGCACCCACCCACCCTCCCTTAGTAACTTCTTATAAAAATGAGAATATAACACAAGGCAAAAAAAAGAAATATGGAGGAAAGTACAATGCTGGAGATGAAACTACAAATTTACCTGAACTGCTATGTGATGGTTGAGGTGTTTATCCAACTAAGAGTCAGAAGTGAGTTATATCTATTATGGAAGTTGCTCTTGCCATTTGAGTTAGGCAAGGATCTGGCTAGTGGTGGTCACCACCATGAGGGCTTTGACCAGCACAGACCTACTACCAATATTCATTCTGGGCTATTTCTCCACATCCCAGCACTTTCCTCATGCTTCTTGTGTAACTGATCTCATTTAAGCCACTGTTCC